ATTACAGGATACAGAGGCATGACGACACCTCAGTCTTCAGAAACGGCAATACATGAAAGGTATCCTGAGTGACACAGTATACACTTATGTCCACAATACTATTCATGTCTATAGATATTTTACCAACCATCTTAATTTTAGTGGAAATTATTATAAATTTGCTTTCCTTTCATCCATGAATTTGCCGTCTATGGCGAACGATGCGATGATAAAAGATGGCTGTAGGCATCATTCAGAATAATACCCTAGAATACAATCCATTATAACACACAAATGAAGTTGATTTAATGGATATTTTCCATTAGGTGTGCTCGTTTGACATTTCAAATTGTATAAACGAATTTACTGGGTACAGAGGAATAACACCTGAGTCCTCAGGAATGGCAACACATGGGGGGTATCATGGGCGGAACAGTATACTCTGTTATGTCCATGGTACTGCTCATGTCTATAGCCGACGGTTACCACTTTCCATCAGGTGGGCCGTCAGCTTGTTTGCCATTCTAAGTTGTATAAAACAAAAATCTAGAATCGTTTGATTTTTCAACAGAATCTTTTAATTCCTCACCGTTATCTGTCTACAAACATAGGCTTCCACCATAGACTGCCATAAGGAATGGTCTTGAGCCATCTGCATCCTTTGACTCACTACCACGCATTTGAAGTCGTTGTTCCATCTAGTGAGAGATCGTGCTACGCTGCGTTAGCTAGTACTGGGTCGCCACTCAAGAACCTCTCTTCCCTATCGGTTGTCGATTCATCGAGCTATGTGACCAGCCCATTGCCACTTCAGCTTGTTTATTTTACTGCTGATTCTAATTCCTCATACCTAACCATAAACGTCGGGGGGGGGGGGGGGGAAGGGATTGTTAGTAATGGAGACTGAAATCCTATTGCTAGCAATATACCCAACCAGGTCGACCTCCTCGCGGTTCCCCCTGGAAACCATCATGATTAATCCATGATGGGCTAACTGGCCTGTTTTCATTCTCATCTATCCTCCTTCACTGGTGCTCCGCCAGCGTATCCCGTTAGCGCAGGCGGGGTTACCATACCATTTTCACCCATAAAAAAAAACCATAAACGTCGTGTCGTGTCCAGGTCGTCGTTAAAGTAGCAACATGTAAATGGTATTATATGGGATTTTTTATATTACGTAGCCCCTGCCCTATCGGCTCGGAATATTAAAGCGCTGGATATGAATAATTCAGTTACATCTGAAAAGACTTCTTATGGTTTTTGGTTATGAAGACAGATGAGATAATAGTACGGGTCCAAGTTTGCATTTAGATTAATAATTAAATTACTTGTCAAAGGAGAAAGTTGTCGATTCATCTGATTTTTTTATGTATACTATTTACAAAATTTTTTTTCCATAGATAAGGTTTATGGTGTCAGATGGTTTCATCTCAGTTGTGTGTAATGGAATTATCACTTCTCAGTTACCTGCATCTGTTTAAATACTTATTGTAACTAAAACATTACATTGACTGTAGGTACTTTAATAATTTCTTTCTCTCTGCTATATTATTTTTGTTAGCATACATTTCATACTATTTGCCAAAGTGTTAAAGCATTAACAATATGCCATGAATATTCATCACTGCTGCGTATAATGAAGCGTTTTCCGCGGTAAAGCCAATGGACGACTGCTATGTTATTAATAGATAATCACACACAACATCAACCAGTCACAAGAGCCGCTCATCACGACATCGCGAGAACGCCAATCATAACGCAGGAGAAAATTACGGGATCTTTCTGGTTTCAAACTGTAACTTACTTGCAAAACAACCTTCAGCGCATTACATCAAATGTATATTCAATACAACACTTCAAAATTAATTATTTTTATTTACCCTATTTAACCGCTTCAAATACTAGGTGTATTCATTCATCATCATCATCATCATATCATCCGTTCTTCATCAAAATGCAAACGCACATCATTAACACGATTAAAACAATTTAGGTATTATATTAGTATCTGTAAATTTCTTTATGTATTTTCGAATCAATTATGAATTACCTTTACTTATTACTTACCTACTAAATGTCATGACTCCCTAGTATTGCTCTGTCCATTAGTCTCGTCAGCATCATATCAGCCATAAATTTGCCACTGCTAGGAGGATTTTACCAGTAGTTGCCACGCTTGGTAAGTGGGTTAGCAACTGCAGTTAGGCTTCGGTGATGTTTTAAGAGGGACACTGATGCCAATCCCTCGACCATTAAGTTTCCTTAGTCGCCTCTTAAAACAGCCACGGGAATAGAAATCCATTTTATGCCGGAATCACACGGCGCATCTAGTTTATGGTATAAAGATAGTATCCCATCTGATTTACACCAAGTAGGTACTAGGCGCACAGAAAACTGAAGAAGTTTTACACAACATATCGTGACGTCAGTAAGGATTAGTATTACAGATGAGTTAGTAACTCATTTCGAAATATTTTTTTCAAATATGTAATTTACCGGAATATCAAATATATTCTTCATCATCATCAATATCATCATTTCAGCCATTATCCGTCCACTGCTGGACATAAACCTCTCCCATAAACTGCCATAAAGAACGGTGCTGTGCCACCTGCATCCACTGACTCCCTACAATGCATTTCAGATCATCACTCCATCTAGTAGGGGTTCGTACACTGCGTTTGCCCGTACGCGATCGCCACTTAAGAACCTTGTTCCCCATCGGTTGTCGGTACTTCGAGCTATGTGACCAGCCCATTGCCACTTCAGCTTGCTTATCCTATAGTATAAATATATTTTTAATCTGTGAGAATCAATTTATTCTTTATCTTCGATTAAATTACTTCAAAAATTCCTATTCTTTATTTAAATATTATTTATTTTGTGTACAAATTTTATATCATCTTCAAATCGCCTTCAAATGAATAATAAAGTATAAACCTAGATACGGCCTTCCTTTATACGTTAGCTAAAAATGTCGCATATAAATATTAAAATCTAGATGATTATAAACAAGGGCTCATACTTATTCCTGAGATGTCTTGTTTACTTTGAAATAAAAATCTAATAATAGCTTAGTTGGGGGAATTCGATGGAATTCCTTAGTAATATAACATGATGTTCTCCTTATGCGTAAATAGCTATACTTCGACCTATCAAAATTTATATATTTTTTTTTTATATTGTAAAATAAATTTCCAAACCCATAAAATGCGTGACGTTTTAAGGAGGGAAAGAATTGTTAATAACCAAGAACAGAACTCTTTTCTCCTACATTCTTCACGACTCTGGAATGCGCTTTCTGATGCCAAAGACTACCGACTAAACCGTCTTTCAAAAAAAAAACGTTCACGCTCACTTTTTTACTTTATCCAAGCAGTAAGCGCTTTATATTATTATCAATTTCGTGTATAATATAGTATATGTCATATATGTGTAAGTATATTTGTTATTCATATATATTTATTCGTTTATATATGTAATTTTAGTATGTATGTATATCAATAATTAGTAGTACCGCATTCGAGTATTCCGACACTTCCCTATGGTTGACTGGGAGAGAATGCTTTTAGCATTAAGTCCGCCATGTACATATATTTGTACTAATGAATAAATAAATAAATAAATAAAACAGACCCTATCCGTAGTAATGTTAAATAATTATTAAATGTTTGCTGGAAATTAGCGTTAATTCCCGATAAATTTGTCACAATGAGTCAACTGATCGGACTTCATCCTCACCTATTATCCCTCACTGGTATTCACCTATTAAACTTTTTTTTTTTGTATAACAAAAGTAGCAAACAAGCATACAGCCCGTCTGATATTAAATTGTTACTGTAACCTATGGACGCCTGCAACATTGAGTCAACACAAGATTTCACCAAATTTAGAGTCTGGAAGAGGAAAATGGTCATCACTCATTTCAGTATCGTCCTTACCGATTGAACACTCATATTGATTCCAATATTGTTCTTCATTACAATATTGTATATTTAATAAGTCTCTTTGACATGTCCATATCTTTATGTATTTTTATTATTTGCATGTACTTCATTGTTATTTACCACATGCATATGCTTTCTTTATATAATTTAACATATTTTATCAACTGCTTTAACCATGCTGTGTGTACGCCTGTCTGGGTCTCAATCTAGTTCAAACTATTATCTTCATATAAATGTTTATAATGTTATTGATTGTAACCCGTTGTGTATACCTTTAATAAATAAAAAAAAAGTAACTTATATTTTATTTTATATTCGATATATCCAATTAATTGCATATACTTATTTTGATATTTCGAAATTTTACGAACTTACTACGACTGTATTTGTCGTTTCCAACAATTGTTTCGACTTAATCTGAAAATCTTCTTCAGGTGTATATAATTATGTATAAAATTTCCTGTTTTTTTTTATACAACTTAGAATGGCAAACAAGCTGACGGCTCACCTGATGGAAAGTGGTACCCGTCGCGTATAGACATGAGCAGTACCTATACTGTTTCGCCCATGATACCCCCCGTGCGGTGCCATTCCTGAAGACTCTGGTGTTATTCCTCTGTACCCTGTAAATTCACGCCATTACCCCACCCTTCAAACCCAAACACAGCCATGCAAACACAACTGCTTCACGGTTGAAATTGATTGAATTTCAAAAATTTGGAATTGATTAAATTGGTTGAAACGAATGGGACAGAGGTACCTAAGCAATCGACTTTTGTACAAAGTTCCCTCTGGTTATACATACATTACCTTTGTACATTCTACAGTTTTCTTTCAGCTTCTCAAATGTTGACTGTAAGAGATCCCTTTATGGGATGAGTCCGCCATTGTATATTAAATCTTTTAATGTATTCAGTATGAATTATGTACAATAAAGATTTTACAATACAATGCATTATTATATTATTATATTACATTATTATATATATATATATATATATATATATATATATATATATATATATATGATCATAAGTTTTAAAAGCGATATTGGGCATTAAATAAAACAGCAAATTATAATCAGCAGTAATATTTTAAATTGCTTTGAATCACAATTTTGTAGTGTTTATAGATTATAATAATTACAAAGGAAGATTATTTTTGTTCAAAGTACACTTTTATCGATAGAATCAATATCTGACGCACTCATATGTCCCAACAACTCACAATCAGATGTTTCACAAATACATGCAAACGTGAATGCAACACAGGAATGTAATTTTTTTTTTTTTATAATAGTAACATTAAATCACAATTTGTCGCTTGTCTGTGTGAAATTTTATATTGTATCAATCAACAAATAAAAAATAATAAATAAAATTTAATGTTTTAATTGTAAATTACAAACTTATTATAAATACACAAAATAATTCATAAAATTACTTATTTTATGGTTTAATTTTATTAAATAAATATTTATAATTTAATACTAAATTGCTTATACATTTTTTTAAAGTTAAAAGAATTCTTATTTGTTGATTAATAACAATATTTTTTTTTATATTTAGGTATGTAAAATTTAAAATTAATAAGTACAATTATAATACTTTTATTTCATTTTAATACAATAAATCAATTTATTTTATGAATTAATTTCAATAAATTATTATATGTCAAATAATACAAAAAATTTGTCAAATGTTTTTGTTACACAACAATAGTCTAAAATCATATTAATTTATTATTTTCATTTAACAAAATAATAGTATTATTAAAGTATTAAATAAATTTTAAATAAGTTTTGTTGCATTAATATTATTTCGACACTTTGACATAACTTTAAAACTTGTCAAACACTTGTTTACTGTCATAATTACCCGCCAACTTGGTTGGTTTCGTTTACAAAACTCTTATTATCATTGACATTAGAACTAAAGTAAAATATATTAAAAAACGTCAATAAAAAACTCTTTCAAAACAATAATTTGGACAATTCACAATCCTAACAATCAACCATCCTTCCTTAATTGGTGTTTTAGAAACCTTGAAACTGGCAGTACGTAACGTTTTCATACATTTGCTATTTATGAAAAGTTATCAATAATAACGCCTATATTTGCATTACAAACAAATATTACGTTACAATAAAACATAACTTCGTCATTACGTGTAACGCTATATTACAAAAAATGTTTCAAGCGATAAGTCCTAATTTCACTATAGTTTGGGTTGTAACGACTTTTAAACTATGTAATAATTTAAAAGTATAATGCACTACACTTTAAAATAAATTACTGTAATTAATTTTTAAATTTCGCATTGTTTACACATATTTTAAATACACAATCGGGATTTAACGCTAATGTAAAAGATTTTACATGTAAATAGTACCTACGTACCTGCTTCTTTATCGACGACGTTTCGACGTTGGTTGCACCACGTCGTGGTCACGTGACCACAGCAGTTACGAACGTACTATTTGCCTCCAAAAGTTTTTACATCACGTTAAGTGCCAATTGTGTATTTAAAATAAATCACTGCAATTAAAATTAAGTAAATATTAGTAAAGGATTTTATTAAAACATAACTACGAAACATCACTAAATTTCACTATGAAAACTTAATCTCAAAGTAAGAAACAAACGTTCTTTTGTTTTGACAATAATCTAACACAAGACAATGTTACAACCCTACAATTCAGCCACTAGAGATATTAATTACTAGAAATCTAGCATTTTATATAAAAAAAAAAAAAACCAATAAAGAAACAGCGTGTCAATAACCCCTCCATAAGTCATACACTAAGTGATATGCAATATATTTTAGGCAGGCTCATTTTTTTTTTTTAATGAAATAAACATCTTCATTATAAAAGTATAACAAGCAAGCTACAGCGAATTAACAAATCACCGATACGCTGTTGAAACAAATTGTTATTTGACTAATAGTCTTTAGGTAACTATCCGTTATATATATATATATATATATATATATATATATATATATATATATATATATATATATATATATATATATATAGATGCTTCAAATCAATTATTTTGCTACACATATATATCACAACAATTGAAATTAATAATGCCTTTGGCGTAATCAGTAACACAGCCCACCCAAACAAATAATAATCGTTCATTATCCTCCGCGAACCCGTTCGGCAAACCTTTACCCTATATATCATTTCAATCTTAAAAGTACCTACCTACTAGATACGAAGTTAAAATGTGTGAACAAGCCTCTTATTGTAATAATAATAAAAAGTATTAGTTAAACTTTTAATTTTTAATTCTATGTATAGATTTCAAGATTTATTATTTCATATATAAGTAGTAATTCATCTAACTATATCTACTTCTAGTGCTCTATTATTTTTAGCTGTGGTCAAATACTAACGCTCGCCATTTGCCGTGCTGCATTCGATACTCAATTTAATGTTTTTTTTTTTATTATTTTTCATGGCAGTAGATTCTAACACTTTGGGCCTATTTTAAAAATGAAATTGTCAAAAATTACAATCATTCTGCAGGCTGATTGAAATAGAAACGAAAGATATGGACAAGCAAAGAGCATGGCCCATACAGCCTAGCCATAAGTTATTATCAGTCCTTTTTAATGGGGAGTAAATTAATTTATACGTATTATTATATTAATCTTCATAGGAGTTGTAACTACCAAGCGTCAGAGTTCTTCATGAATACGAAAATTAGTATGAATATTTTTTTCTTTTTTTTCAAATTTTTTTTTCTTTAATATGTTTAACACGCACCAAAAGCAGCACAGACAACGGCCTTACTATGAAGCGTTCTCTAACTGTTTTGTGACGACCGCGTGGATAATAAAATACACTCTTTACAAATCGGAGTAACTTCACCACAAAAATATTATTGCTTTCGGAGGTTTCGCTTTACAGTTAAAAATATTTTTTTTTATTATTATTATTTTTTTTTTATTACATTTTCTCCTCGTTTTGTTGGCGCTCTTGAAGCAATCGTGCACGCTATCAAAAAATATATACGTATGACCACTAGCTAAACGAACTATTTATCAGTTCAAAAAGAAACAATGAGAGAATAACTTTTATGGAAAATTAATACATCAAAACGTTTGGCGTAATACATTCTCGAAATACTGGTATTGTATCCGCCCTCACTACATATACATATATAAATATAACATCTTAAAATTAGCGATCCAAAAATATGAAATATACATGTTGTATTCGCGCCCTCGGGTGCCCATTGACCATGCAAGCGAATCGCGTTACTATAATCACTTTAACAAATGTTATTTTCGCTTGTTGCCGTTATGCGACTTTTGCCGTACTGCCACCAGAGGGTGCAAAAGCCGCCACGAATGGACGGTTTTCTCAATCTACGTCGCGTGTCACTCATTTTTATAATACTCGTATCCGGTTTGCTCCATCCAATACTATATATAAATTGTAAATTAATTTCATATCCTCATTACATTCAGTACAATGCAATATATCAAATCCTTGTATAATCGTTATGAACACACGGTGTATAGATACAATAAAATTCTGGATTTCATTTTAATACTGTTTGGAGTAAACCAGATGTTACCTACTAATTTCAATACTGGGCCTCTCGAAATTTAATTAACAAACAATCGGAATGTTTATAAACTTAACGTAAAACTTATAACTGAATATTAAATTAAATAATTATAAAAGAATTATCGTTAATGAAAAGATTTAATATATGAAGTCAATAATTTTATAGACAACAAAAACCGAATTGATCTGATCTGGCCCTGCACAAGCAAAGCAATCGTAGTCGTTCGTAACTTTTGCCTTATAAAAATACGAATCGAAAATATCTCGACGGCTGTTCGTCGTCTTATGGTTAAGCTATGATTAATCTAATCTTAAACTATAAACTATATGGCTACGTTAAAATATCAAAGAATCCAGAAAAAGGGAATATTTAGGTAGTTATTTCTATATTTAAATGGTGCACAACCTTTTTTTTCATGAACGCTAGGTAAGTAGGTATGGCATTTAGCTTTATCGAAGATCTAAAACGAAAATTATTATCTAGAAAACTAATTAATAGTTAATATTAAGGATGTCGATAGTTGCTTAGTAGGAACTAGGGGCGCAGAAAATGAATTCAACGGGATATTAAACTATATATGGGCTACGTATAAAAATAACTAAACTCGTCACAATGTACTTAAAACCGTAGACGAAATATACACAACAAATATGAACGGCTAAAGGTAAGCATTCATAAGATTTAGATATTAGCTACGGGAAATTTAAGATAGATTAGATGTTCGATGATATCTAAGGCTTTATTTCACTGCGTAGACTAAAAAAGAATTAACCTATTAGGCTGAAACGAAACCTATAAGAACAGTAACGGCATAATTACTTTATTTCTCCTTAAATACGATAAAATCTCAAAATACTCACAGCTCGTCGGGTTTATTGTATTTTACGCTAGGTGCAACTACTTTATAAAGAACAGTGGCTTTTTTTTTATTTTATTTAATAATTTGAATTTGTACTTAACCTACATATTTTTTAACTCCATTCGGAAATTATCAATAGAATCTAGAATTCAAGTTTTAACTTGAGTTTCTAATGTCCAAAACAAATCAACGAACGCAACCCCCAAACGTACAGTTTAGGTATCTACTCGTAATTATCTTTACATTTTGAAATAGAAAATATATATTACAGCCAAATATTAAATAAGACAATACAATAATATTCAAGAGAAACCGTTTCAATACGTGTTCACGTTGAGAACAAATAAGCCAATACACTGATGCTTCTAGATAAATTACTTTTACATCCAATTTAGAGTTTTCAAAAATATAAATCCAATAAATGTCCTAAACAAACGTCTCAAAAATACATTATGAAAATATAATACAAATACGATAAAATTTATACTAAATATAACCCTGTCTATGACCTGAAGAGTTCGAAATAAAGGAAAAAAAAATTTTGAATCTAAACTCTGAACAAGTCATTTCTAAGGAGATTGGAAACGTCTACACGAAACAATACAACACTAAAGGAAAAAAGTGATAGCTTGTCTCCTATTATGAAAGTCGATACTATCATTATAATACCTAATAGATATAATTGTAAATTGAATGGCTAAAATTTTAATAGACAAGGCCCGAGTTATTTCACAACTTTAAGAAGAAACCTGTTTTGTATAATTGTTATGAAGAAGTCGAATAAAAATACACCAATTATACAGATCCTATATTGTTCTTGGAACAATGCTACTTGTTACCAGAACAAAGATAATTCGATACAGTTCCTTGGATACTGTCCTTTTTATAATTGATGTATTTTATTCACTTAAAACGCTACCTTGAGTGAAAGTTGCCGATTTAATAAATATGTTACCAATTGTAAACTTACAAGAAAAAAATTAACTAAATTGTAATAATACAAATATCCTCCCTCGTATCTGTAAGTTTTTTCAGTACGCAAATACGAGATTTTATATTTCCAAAATTAGTCAAGAAGACTATTATATTATGTGGTACAATATGTTCTTATATATGTATATATATATATATATATATATATATATATATATATAATAAATTTCACAAAGGTAGAGTGTTAAGATCAATTAAGTATTAGACAAGTGAAGGCAGTAAATATCACGAAGGCTTTGTCAAAAGAGTGTCTATGTTGTAAAGCCAAAATACAAAGTAATTTAAACGAATCGACTATAGTTTTTCTAAATTTCAACACACAGGAGAATTTGAATAGAAACAAAATGAGAGATTTTTATATAATCCTAACGATTGAAGGCGCCGGGTCACATTTTAAACAGAAGCTCAAGTAACAGGTCTTCATCAGCGTTCATTGGTGATTCAGGTGCTAAGTAGTCCACGATCCTAGAAAAATACTACTAATTAAAAATAAAACATTTTGCAGATAAAACAGCATTATTAAAATAAAATTTATTTTATTACAATAATAAAAAAAAATCTTTAATAATAAATTAGTAATAATAAAAAATAAAGATATTTATTTTAAAGCACTGCTACCAAGATCTCCGTTTGCCTCATGATTGGCTAGTAAAGAACGCCTTTAGGTGTTATGTTAGTCATGTGTACCTTTGTGTACATGGAAGTTAAATAAATAAATAAAAATTTAAATGTAAATATAATGTGTAAAGTTTAAACAAGTGTTACAATTAATTAAATAAATTTGGTAAAAAAAAATGATTATAATAATTATTAAAGAAATATTAAAGATAGATATGATTATAATATGTATAATTTAATTAAACCAACATAGAATTCATATTTATTTTATACTTAAATTCCAAAAATACATATTTTTCTATTGTTATATTAAATTGAAATTGTGTAGAAGTAAATCTTCGTCAGTTTCTTTTGTATTTTGTAATTTTCTTTTTTAAAATAAATCGAATCCTGAATTGTATCTTAATACATTGAATTGTACTTAAACTTAATTCCTCAAGTCTTATCTCGACAATTCCCAAGCGAATGCTCCAAAATGTACGATCTTAAAGTTTACTGCTAATGACTTTCGTGAAATAACTTTAAAGAAATACATTTAAGAGTTGTTATGGACCAAATCAAATTGCACATTAAGGTGGTCGGTGGCTAAACAAAATTGGACAAGAAATACGAGTACTAGATGGCGTTGGTATCGAGATTAGTGGTTTATGTTGATTATTTTATTATTAAAGATAATTTGAAATAATTTTTTTAAATTGGCGAGTACTTTTTATTATTATGTATGAATATGAAGTACCATTTAAATGCGTGATCTTTTCCTAAATGGATTATAACCCACAAAATCGTAATGTTTCTTGTTAGTGTGTGTGTTTTTTACAAAGTTGTATAATATAAGAGAATAAAGACAAAAATTATAATCAATTATTACTATATCAGTAAAAAATAAATAAAAACACTCGCCAATTAAAAAATTTGATTGAAATTATCTTTAATTACAAAATAATTAATAAAACATACAAGTTTCATATCTAGCGACATATTATTTTTCATGTTTAATTTTGTTTAGTGTCCAAACACCATGATTATGGGTTTTGAAATAAAGATTTACTTATCATCCATAAAATCGTTTCAGAGACACCTTTATTTTAAATAGCCTTAGCTATTTTGTTTTTTTGTTATATTACTATGACATGCAAACTGACGGCTTACCTGATGGAGAGGAGTAATCGCCTATACACACAAACGTTACAGAATTCTCCTAAGGTACTTCTCATACGTTGCCATTTTATGTAATGTCTCCGTACCTATACCCATACGATATGGGTAATGTATGTATTATAACCGACTTTAAAAAAGAAGTATTTAAAATTTTCTCTTTTTATCTGAAAGGATATACTGGCAGATTGGACTCGTAGAAATTTTATCAAAATCGGTACAGTAGTTTAGTTTTTAAGTCAAAATAACTGGTTTCGTGTCTTTTTTTGAGGAATAATCTTAATAATCAAACCAAAACACACCCAAAGCACCAAGAGAACCCCAAGCGGACGACTTTTCTACAAAGTTTACCCCCGATCTTCTTCTTATAAAGATTCGATAAAATCGTGTCACGACTACAGCTACAATATTTATTAATAAACCATAGAAAATTAACATTTACACACGTATTGTGTATGAGATTACGCCATCGGTACAATCTGACCATACATTTCAACAATTGTGTCTAGTATGTAGCCAGGAATAATAGGGGCATACAATTGATATTGTCCAGTGAAGCCCATGTAAGTCCCGGCGACTATCTACGGATGTCTAGCAACCCACAACGAATTTAATTAGAAAAAAAATATAAGAATGGTAGATATGTAATGTATGTACATAAAGTAATTAATTTTTATAGTAATGTAAGAGGTATGTATGTATAAGAAGTAGACTCTGTATAATAATGTGTGTGTGCGCGCGCGTCTCTCTGTGTGTGTGGGCGTGTGTATGTATATGTGCGGGCGCGAGCGCGCGCGCGTGTGTATGTGTATGTGTGTATACGTGCGTGGGCACGCGCGTGCGTGTGTGCTCGTGTGCGTGCGTGCGTGCGTGTCTGCTTGCGTGCGTGTGGATGCATCCACGTTTGCGTGTGTATATGTAATTATGCATGTGTTCTAATATTAGTAATTGAATGCGATTTACCTATTGGGAGTGGGCGGTGTACTGATGATGCGCTGCGACGAGCTTTGGTGGGCATCCGGCGAGCGCAGGGCCTCCCTCACGCTTTCGACTCGTGCGTTCTGCAACCTGCCAGCGACAGATTGATTTAGATTATACCACCATAGCATATAGAACAGCCAGTGATCCAACGGCTTTGGCATGTCCCGAACAATTACATCAAATTTGGAACGCATTGCTCCATCTATATAAGAGAGAGTTCTTTAAACTGTAATATTAGATTTCCAAAAAGAAAATTTCTTAAAATGAATGAAGTAAATTCAATTTAATGACAAACTTGTGAAAGTTCAATTTAGAACGTCAACAATATTTTATTGACATTAAAAATTAAACCAAAATTTCAAAGTGTTATATATACTGTTTGATCGAGCGTCTTTCGTAAAATAATGTGGGGTCTACACTATTTATTATTGCGTTACATCACATAGAAGACTTACGTTTGTGGAAAACTCTTCCCATGTGCTGGCATGAAAAAATAATACTTTTTGAAAAAAAAAATCAAGTAGTCAATGTATTTTTTATGGATGATATTAGAATGCTATTTCCGGCTATGCTGTCAATTTAGTCAGAAAGGTTAGATAAATTACAGCATTGACAGCGATAGCTTAGGACCGTTCCTTATAGCAGTCTATGGAGAAGTTCTATGTCCAGCAATGGACGGATAATGGCTGAAATGATGACGATGATGTCATTTTACGCTAGTGGATAAAACTATAAAGGTGAAGTCTGGTAAGTTGGCTCATTGTGACGTATTCGCTAGGGATTGACCCTTTTTGACAAAAATTGCATCCGTGAAAAGCTGAGAATAGTCATTAGTTGTTATTGGCGACTTATCCAGACGGCCGTTTTAATATATTTATATTTTTATATTATTTTGAATAATATAAAAACGGTTTATGTTTTTCTTTCCCGTGGATGTCATAAGAACCGATTAAAGGACGAGGGATGGGCAGTAGCGTCCCTCTTAAAATATCTCTAAAGCCTGACTGCGGTTGCCAATCCGCCTGCTAAGCGTGGCAACTACTGGCAAAATCAATCTATCATTAACTTCTCTTAGTTGTCTTCTATGACACCCACGAAGGGATAGGCCATTCTATGCCAGGACCATACGGCGATCAATCAGATTAGTTTTTATACAAAAACAAAATTACAAAGGCATTTCCAGTCTTCTTTGATTTATCCCTAACGTATAATCAATTTAGAGACAATGTCCCAATAAGAGTCGCTAGAACAAATTTAGATTAGTAAATATAGTTGCTTAGAGTCCCTTAGCGTCCAGATAACTGGAGTTATGAGGGAAGGGAGACGACCTAATTGGATACGTACCCTATAAAGAAAACTCCTTAGCAATCCACTAACAACGGGACGATTTACCAATTCTAAATAGTATCGACTTACCGCAAGCGTGAGTGAATGAAACACCAGATACGCTTTCTCGTTCCTTCTTACTCGTAATTATGATAGTGCAATCTTACTAGAGATAAACGGGATCTAAAATGACCACTTTTCAATCGAATTCTCAAAGAAGGAAGTTCGCAATGCAATTGTATTTTTTTTTTAAGTTTGTTAGCTCACAATTCCGTCAGTCCCATACCGATTTGGTAAATTTTTCTTTTATCTAAAAGAATTTACTTACAAATTGGTCCCATTGGTATTTTATGCAAATTGATTCGTTAGTTTAGGTTTTAAAATTTTTAAATTAAGGTAACTGGTTATGCTGATCGGATTTTTTTTTAACAACAATTTAATCATTTTGTAAAATTATTTTACACAGTTTTTGCAGAGTATCATTGCACTACAAAACAGCACAATTAATTATAATTTTAAAACTTCTTAATCGGTTAATGTAGACATATGTAGACAAATTAGAATAATTTTATTTCTAGCTAGTTTTATTAAATAGCTATGTCAGATATGTATTTTCAAGTTAATATTAATATTAGAACATTCACAAAAAAGTTCTCATTATTCTAGCGAAATGTGGCAATGAAAAATTTGCCATTATTTGCATTGCCACATTTCGCTGGAAAATTTATTATAATTAATCAAATTAGCAATTATCTAGAAAAAATGTATAATGGAAAACCGTAATTTATTGTTTATAAATATAACTTATTTATTTAATAACATTTTTAATTTGTGAAAACTTGGAACGGTCGACAATCAGGCGTGACGGGAAAAAATAAAAAAAATTCTCTTTGAAAATTATATCTATAGTTTTTTTCTGTCTTTTTCGCCTTTACTTATTCTGTCAATCAGTTTTTGTCTGTTGAACGTCTATCATAATAAGTAACCAGCGCTAAAACCAATTATAGAGTTCACAGCAATTCCGCAATCGGACATAGATATCGCTAATTCAATATAAACAACCACATTTTGCAAATTTCAACTGAAACGTGACAAAAATAAAATAGAAAATGAAACGGAAATCCTCTTAATACACTATATGAAACACTCAAAGTATCTATTATAGACTGCGTAGGATCATTTTAAAATTCTATATGAAACATCGAAAGTGGTCATTATACACCCCAAAAGTTTTATTTGCTAGTTATATAAAGGTTTGATCAGCTTATTTGAGATGGAAAAGTATACTCTGTTATGTCCATGGTACTACTCATGTCTATAGGCGACGGTTACCACTTTCCATCAGGTGGGCCGTCAGCTTATTTGCCGTTCTAAGTTGTATAAAAAAAAAATTCGACGATTCCATTGACAAATTAAACTGCTAGATAAAACGTGAACTAAATCAATTTTGACTAAAGAAAATATTTTCTTTACAGAATAAAGTAAAAAAAAAAAACTAAAAAGGATTAATTTATTTAATGAGGATAAAACACAGCTCAATGGATTCTAATTAATTTATAATCGGACTTGAAAGTCATCTAATGGTTACGATAATGGAAAATATTTAGGGATACAATTTTTGTTTATTAAAAACTCATTATTAGAAAGAAGTCCCATCAGAATATATAAAGAATTTCACAAACTGGCAGTTTGAAAACTTTATAGCAACATACAGTTATTATATTTAAAGTATTCCAATGATTTTCTTTTTTTTATGCAACTTAGAATCCCAAACAAGCTGACGGCCCACCTGATGGAAAGTGGTAACCGTCGCCTATAGACATGAGCAGTACCATGGACATAACAGAGTATACTGTTTCGCCCATGATACCCCCCATGCGTTGCCATTCCTGAGGACTCAGGTGTTATTCCTCTGTGCCCTGTAAATTCACTGCCATATCCCACTCTTCAAACCGAAACACAGCCATGCAAACACAACTGCTTCACGGTAGGAACACGAATGGATCAGAGGTTCTCAAACAAACGACTTTTATACAAAGTCTCCCTCTGGTGATGACGAACTACAACGTTAATCTTGTATTATATTATACATACATACATACATATCTGTCACGCCTGCCTATCCATTAGAATAGGCACAAACAATTGAACGCTAAATACTTCAATTCGGGGGGAAAGGGATTGTTAGTAATGGAGACTGAGAATCCCATTGCTAGCAATATACCCAACCAGGTCGACCTCCCCGCGGTTCCCCCTTGAAACTATCATGGTTAATTCCTGATGAATTCATCATGATGGGCTAACTGGCCTGTTTTCATTCTCATCTATCACCCTTCACTGGTGGTCTGTCAGCGTATCCCGTTAGCGCAGGCGGAGTTACCATTCCATTTTCACCGATAAAAAAACTGACCCGCCTTCATCCTCACCTACCATTTCTCACTAGTACCTTGCCAGCGTATACCGATAACACAGGCGGGGTTACCATCCCATTTTCACAGATAAAAAAAAAATCCATTCTTTCAAACAGACGTAAGTATTTTGGATCATTTTTATTTATCAACTTAACCTTAACCTATATGGTTAAGTTTTTGTTTTTAATGAGAAGAAATCATACGAAGAGAATTCCCATCTAATTGTTACGTTAGCAAACTTATTTATACGTTGATCTGTTTTTATAAAAGCGTTTGTTATGAGATACTCCATCTAGAGCCAAATGATCTAGTTCGTATAGTACATTGTTACATCCGCGAGGCAGGATGACGATGTTAAAATTTAATCTATGGAGCGATGCGCCCGGCGAAAATATAATATGATCATACTTAAAAAGCCATCATTTTCAGTGTAACTCAGCAAGAAATAACTTTCTTATTAAAATTTCACAAAGTCGGAATCCCAAAACTTTATCTTTTCGACGACGTTATTACACTAAGTTGTTATATTATATATAATCAATGACTCCGCGTTCCCGTGGTGATTTCTTGTTACATTGATCTATTAACATATTAGATGTATCCTTCTTAAAAAAACCGTTAATTAAAGCGTTTTCGTCAAAAATAAATAATAGTTTTAAAAACTATATAACTTGATGTCAATTAAGGTAATTGTCAATCAATCAACAAGGGCTTCTCATGCCCGCCAGATGAAGAGTGGGCGGGCGAGGTAGGGGCCTCGGGGTATACCCCACTACCCCGGCTTCAACTCCGGAGGCGACGACCTTCGGGTCGCTAGGTTCTTCAGCCGGCATACACTGGTGGTTTGTGTATGCCGGCGTGGCGAGGTAATTGTCGAGGAAGCAAAATTTTATGACACTAGATGTCGCTAAAACTGATTTGTAGTTTTTGTTAATTATTTTGTAATTAAGTTTTAAATTATACAAATGGAGCAACAAGTATCATATACGCATCTAAATTTAAATAACTAATCTGACGTTTAGCTGATATTTTTTTTTAAATCCAAACAAAATGCACTATTCTTTAAGTAATTGGATTAAAATTTCATTTTTTAAATTTCAATTGGGAACTATTATTCCTGATATAATATAAATTGCTTGTAAATTAATATACCTGTGTAAATTAAAATAGCGGCTAATTTTTTATTTAGTTATTTAGTAGGCCGTCGGCTTGTTTGCCATTTTAAGTTGCATAAAAAAAAAAACTTAAATATGTATATCAGTAATTAGTGTTAAAGTAATAAACTGATATCAGACTTTTAAGTATTATTTTATTATTAATAGCTATTATATCAGTTTTATTGTTTAAAAACAATACTTCGAGGTCCTTCGAGCCGGATACATCACATACACATCAATTTGGAGGGAAAGGGATTGTTAGTAATGGAGACTGAGAATCCCATTGCTAGCAATATACCCAATCAGGTCGACCTCCTCGCGGTTCCCACTGGAAACTATCATGGTTAATTCCTGATGAATTCATCATGATGGCATGATAGGCTAACTGGCCTGTTTTCATTCCCAACTATCACTCTTCACTGGTGCTCCGCCAGCATATCCCGTTAGCACAGGCGGGGTTACCATCCATTTTCACACATCAAAAAAAAAACACGTCAATTTAGTATGGGTGAAAATTCTTTCACGCAACTTTCTATGGCAAAAATATACAATTTCACACTCTTAAAAGGATGTTAGTGGTTTCTATTCCATCCTACATTACATAACTTGAGTCAGGTTGCTATAACGCAATATATCTGATGTCGTGAGGGAAATTGTATTGTAGCGATGGAGTATATAATACTAAAAAGTAATGTAGTGTAACAGCATAATATATTACATATATATAAACACTAGACCGCGTCTGTTTATGGAAGAAATGAAGCTCGTCTTTGTATATTTATTTATTTATTTATAGTATATACGTAACACGATAGTGTTACATATATACTATGAACATATATACATACAATATATACACACTAGTTAAAGATGTACATAGCATTAGCTACATAATAATAAAAATAACTAGAAATATATAATTACTTAGATTATTTTACAAAAATACTGCAAAAAAGAGACAGAAGACACCCAGATAGTGTAATGGTTTTTAATGCAAATTAATAGTTTATATTTGAAGGTACGCTGTGAATCATGGAAAATGTCGAAGTCCTTTACTTTCGTATTAAATTGGTTATAAAGGGAGCATATTCTAGCAGTAGGTTGGTTGCTTACTTCTGTCATATTTTTTATGTAGTATTAGTATGTACAGTATAGTATAAATAAAATAAAAGTATTTTTTATGTACAATTTACAGGGTGCAGAGAAATAAGACCTGGGTCCTCAGGGATGGCAACGCATGGGAGGTATCATGGGCGAAACAGTATACTCTGTTATATCCATGGTACTGCTCATGTCTATAGGCGACAGTTACCTTTCCATCAGGTTGACCGTCAGCTTGTTTGCCATTCTAAGTTGTATAAAAAAATATAAAAAATAAACATATTATTTGTGTATTATGTATGATTCTTTGAGGGTAATAAAGAGCTTTTTCATTCATTCTAAATTATACTATTTCACAATACAATTACAGATTTCAGCTTGTTATGTAACGCTCATATTGTACAGCGTAATATATGTATCATACCGTACATCATACATATATATAATAGGAAAAGGAACGACGCGATACGATCCTCTCGAGAACTTTCCCAGTGTACGCTTGAAATTATGGGGTACAATATTACAATAAGCTATATATTTCTTATATCTTGATTCTATTCAAAAGCATTTTTGGCCATAATAAAAAAAATTGTGATGGCACTACTACGTTATTAGTTTCGGCTAAATAATTTAGTACTTTCAACGGGTCAACTAACAAAATGAGGTTTTTGTGAAGAATGTCTATAGTTAAAAATTAAACTAGATCTATATAAAAATAAGTTTTTTTTTAACAATAATACGGTTCAAAGTTAAGCTGAAAAATATTTTTAAAAGTTGCCAATGACTTTGAATGGTTCTATTAATCGGAATGTATGTTGTCTTTTTGTTTTAAAATGTATTTTAGCGCAATAAAGAATGTTAAATGTAATTTAATATTTTATGAAATATATTTAATATGAAAAAGGGTATATAAAGGTTCCTTCAGGGTCGGCAATGTGTCTATAGGTTACAGTAACCGTTTACCATCAGACGGGCTGTATGCTTGTTTGCGACCCTCGTAGTATAAAAAAAAAAAAGATAGACATCATTGGATAGCTAGAATAATTAGACATAGAATAATTGGTAGTCACAATTCTATTAAAATAATAGTTTACTCATAGTTCACAGTTAATAGTTTACTTAAAAAATTTTACTACTGAGTTACGTAAAAATATTTTTTATCCTCTTAATATTATACGAAAGTTTGTAAAACTGTATGGATAAATGTTTGTAACTCTTTAACACAAAAACTACTAAACGGATTTGTATGAAATTTGGTACACAGGTAGGTTATGTCCTAACTTAGCACATAAGGTACTTTATATACTGATTCATGCGAGCAAATATGCGATATATATATATATATATATATATATATATATATATATATATATATATATATATATATATATATATATATATATATATATATATATATATATATACTATTCTTTTATGTATTGCAATAAAGAGTAAATAATTAAATAAATGAATACAAAAGTTAGTTTTTTTTTTTTTAAGAAATAATCATTCCTATTCCTTCTATAAATCACAATAGAATTTCCACTTTCCGAATAATATCAATAGTAGCGTTATTATAATAAATAACATATACTGGAAATATCTTTTTGCGAACACATATCGTATTCAATAACATATTGGAAGGATAGAGACCTAATAAAATGTGTTCACGGTGCTGGAAAATTAGATACAGTTAGACGTAATGGTAACTTTACCAATTATTCGTATCCGTTACGTAGAAAACACCCTATTATTGTAGCAATTAGGTTTGTTTGATATACATATATATTTTTTATACTACTATGGTAATCGCAAACAAGTGTACAGCCCGTCTGACGGTAAGCGGTTACCGTAACCTATGAACGCCTGCAATACCAGGGCCTTTAGACAAATGGCAAACGAATTCGTCGATGGAATCGACATCGCTAACGAGTCCATAAGTTGGAATGAGTCACCCGGCGTTGCTATCTCACTCTGTCTCACGGACTAGCTAGCGAAGTCGATTCCATCGACGAATTCGCTTGCCACTTGTCTAGAGGGCCAGGGATGTCACGCGTGCGGCAATATTTCCAGCAGCAATATTTCCGAACCGATACGACAAAATAACATATTTCTTTTTAAAAGGCCAGCAGCACACCTGTAATGCCGTTGGTGTTATGGGTGATCATGGGCAGAGGGAGTCACTTACCATCAGGTGAGCCGCATGCTCGTTTGCCCCCTGTGTTGTAAAAAAAATCGGCAAGACTCTATTACTAGTTTCTGCTCCACGGATTCGTCTACGTGACCGGGATATATCTTCATTAAAATTATTTACTAGCTTATTTCCCGCTACATCGCACGCGTGGATTTCAAAAGGAAGGCCACCAATGAAATATACCACTTAAAGATGATGCATCAAGATATTTTTTATGCAACTTAGAACGACAAACAAGTTGACGCTCCACCTAATAAAAAGTAGTAACCATCGCCTACTGACATGAGCAGTACCATGGACATAACAGAGTATACCGTTTCGCCCATGATACCCCCATGCGTTACCATTCCTGAGGACTCAGGTGTTATACCTCTGTACCCTGGAAATTCACTGCCATATCCGGCCCTTCAAACCGAAACACAGCTATGCAAATAACTGCATCACGGTAAAAACACGAATGGGAAAGAAGTGACCAAGCAAACGACTTTTGTACAAAGTCTCCCTCTGGTGATTTTATTATAATCACAAAGTAAATTTTGTATAATACTAAACGAATGAAGCCTTTATTCGTATATCTTACATTTTATATAATCTTTAACTGCGATTTGGTCTACGTAATCAGTATATTTTAGTTGAGTGGTAACTTATACATATAAATATATATATAAGCTAGTATAATATAAAGACATTCTTGAGACCACCTTCAGACTCGAAAGCAATATCACAAATTACTGCTCTATGACAGAAAACTATGTAAAGTATTTTTTTCCTTTTTATCATTTCAAGAATTGTAAAATATACGTACTTATATTGAATAGTAGAAATAAAATTATATTCTAGAGGACAATTTATATTTGCCAAATATATTTCAACAATATTTATATATTAGATAGAATATATATCATTATGAAATAAATAATAACGAGATATTTGCTTCAAATCAATATAGGAGTGAACATATCGTATTTTGACTTATATTTACTCTACGCCATTAAAAATATTCCCGAAGATCTTTTATTTTGGCCGTGTGATCCCGGTATAAAATGGGCTACATCTTCCTTTCCCGTGGGTGTCGTAAGAGGCGACTAAGGGAAGGCGAGGGATGGGTTGTAGCGTCCCTTTTAAAACATCTCTAAAAGCCTAACTACGGTTGCGAAACCACCTGCCAAGCGTGACAAATACTAGCAAAACACCCCTTATGGAGAAGATTTATGTCCAGTAGTGGACAGTTAACGGCTAAAAAAAAATAAGAATGGCCGGGACACACATGGCGATTAAATTAGTGATCTAATTTTTCACGCAAATAGAAGAGGCAAGCAAATAACTAGTTGGTAATATTAGTGGGATGTGACATTGAGTCCGTTTGTCATCCTTTGGCGTCTTAACAAACTATTTTTGACAGCAGGCCTAATCCTAGAAAAATTATATTACAAAGATTGTAGAAAAATTAACCAAGACAATTTCACTGTAGTTATCAACAGAAACACGAATGGGACAGGAATCTATTAAATGTCCTACAAAGTCTCATTGGCCGATAAGTCAGCTATAAAATAAATCAAATAAAGCTATTGAAAGCCCCACAAAACTACCTACACACACACACATATATATATATATATATATATATATATATATATATATATATATATATATATATATATATATATATATATATATATATATATATATATATATATATTTCCTGTTACTGTAAATAAAATATACATAACTATATATACATATAGCTACATTTTTTGTTGCATCATTGTGCATAATTCACTAGAAATAAGAATTTATCACGAAGGTTTCTAAGAGACGACCGCGTGGAGATCGACCATACAGTTGTTTTAAATAAACACAACTCCAATACAATAGCCTTTTCTTCTTATGTTTAATAATATAAAGATACTAGCTTTTCCCGCGGTTTTGCTCACTTGTGACATTAGATTTTATTGCTCTATAATAATTCACGTGTCTAATTTATAAACTGACGAAATTCCATACAAATTTTCAAACCCCGTTTTACCCCCTTAAGGGTTGAATTTTCACAATTTTTTTCTTATTATTTACCTATAAAGGAAATATCATCAAAATTTCAAAACGCTGAATTTAATAGATTCAGCGGTTTCAGCTGTGCGTTGACATATGGGTCAGCCCAGCCAGTCAATCAGCACGCTCTTTTATATATCTAAATTTAAATATTATGTCATTAACAAAGAAAATTAATTGCAGCGACGCGACAGGAAACTATTAAATGAAAAAGAAAACCAAAAAAAGATCTGTACTCACTTTATTTTTGACTGCCTCATAAATTGCTGAATTTTTCTTGCTGCCTGATTTTGACGCCGCTGGGAATATGTCCTTCTGGATGAAAGAATAAATATATGAACTTCTGTGCATTACAAATATTTTAAATTCTGCTTGAAAATAAACATTTTAAATAACACACAACAAAAAAGTTCATGCTGCATCCTCATTATTTGCCTTTTTGTTTTTGCATATGTCTCTTTGAATTACTCTATGAATAATTTAATATATTAACTATATTTATTAATTATCTACTCATAGAAAGAAAAAAATATTCGTGTTCAAGTAAACTTCAATTATCAATTAAATTTAAAACTTTATTGTGGTTGCCAACCCGCCTGCCAAGCGTGGCAACTACTGGCAGAACTCCCCTTATGGCGGGACCTACGTTCAGCAGTGGACAGTACGGCTGATATGATGATAATGATGAAACTTAAATCTAAACTTATTTTAATAGTCATTTTTATAACTTAATATATCAACTATGTATATCAGTTATCTACCCATAAATTAAAAGAAATACCATTGTTCTAGTAAACTTAAATTTAAACACTTTTGAATAGTCATTTTTATAATTTAATATATCAACTATGTATATCAGTTATCTACCCATAAATTAAAAGAAATACCATTGTTCTAGTAAACTTAAATTTAAACACTTTTGAATAGTCATTTTTATAATTTAATATATCAACTATTTATATCAGTTATCTACCCATAAATTAAAAGAAATACCTTTGTTCTAGTAAACTTAAATTTCAACATTTTTGAATAGTCATTTTTATAACTTAATATATCAACTATGTATATCAATTATCTACCCATAAATTAAAAGAAATACCATTGTTCTAGTAAACTTAAATTTAAACACTTTTGAATAGTCATTTTTATAATTTAATATATCAACTATGTATATCAGTTATCTACCCATAAATTAAAAGAAATACCTTTGTTCTAGTAAACTTAAATTTAAACATCTTTGAATAGTCATTTTATAACTTAATCTATCAGCTATGTACATCAGTTATCTACACATACAAAAGAAAGAAATATTTTTATTCAAGTAAACTTAAATTTATGCATTTTTGAATAGCCATTTATTATAATTCTACCGCCCATTCAGAATGCAATTTCTAAAAAGAATGTGCAAGCAATGCAGCTGTTTACAAGCTGTACTTACGAGTAGTTCGAGATTAGACGACGCTGTACAATAACTGTTTGGATCAAAAATATTTATATATTTCTCTTATCTTCTTCTTATCAGCCTTTAACTGTCCACTGCTGAACTTAAGCCTCCCCTTTGGGTGGTTTTGCTAGTAGTTGCCACGTTTGGCAGACGGATTGGCAACAGCAGGTAGGCTTTGGAGATATTTTAAGAGAGATGCTGCTACACATCTCTCACCCTCCATAAGTTGCCTCTCAAAACAGCCACGGGAAAGAAAATGGGTGGCATATCCTATGCCGAGACCACACGGCGATAAGTTGTATGTTGTGTATATGCATTTATATATTTTTTTTAATTCTTAAATGACTTTGCAATTGCCACTTGCAATAAATTTACATGGTACAGGTGTTATTCCTCTGAATAACACCTGAGTCCTCAGGAATGACAACGCATGGGGGATATCATGGGCGAAACAGTATACTCTGTTATGTTCATGGTACTGCTCATATCTATAGGCGACTGTTACAACTTTCCAGGTGGACCGTCAGCTTGTTTGCCATTCTAAGTTGCAGAAAAAAAATAAAAAAAACTTACTTGATAGGCGTGTTGTTTGCAGCCTGTCGCCGCGCTCGCATTAGACGGTATCCGCGTTGTATTACAGTTGCCGCTGCATGCATATGCTTCAAATATGCAAACTGTATACATAAAGATATTTTATTGTTAGCTTTAATAGAATTTATAATAATTAAAACATTGTGTCGGTCCATCGCGTTGGTGATCTACCCCGAGAACATTTACGTTGTACTGAACCTTGGACAATTACAGTTCCATACAGTTCGAGAACATTTATGTTGCACTGAATCTTGGACAGTTAGTCGTTCCATACAGTTTTCATTACGGATGACATGGCCGAAGTACTGAGTAATGAGTAAGAGTTAACAAACATATAAAAATATATCGATATTTTAAATATACATATACACAATCGTAATTTAACGCAATGTAAAAGCTTTTACAGGTAAATAGTACCTACATACCTGCTTCTCTATCTTATCTTCTAGACTGCACCACGTCGTGGTCACGTGACCACAGCAATGTGTATTTAAAATAAATCGAATTTAGAACCTCCTTTTTTGAAGTCGGTTGAAAAGGTCACCAAGTTTTGTTGGAATTGATTAATGCTGAAATAAGGACAATTAGAAGGTCGAATGAGAGTGACAATGGATTCATCATCCATCACCTGTTTATATCGACGGTAGCAGTTCTGTATGGTGATGGCGGCGGCCGCTGCGCGTCGCTGCAACTGGCGCCCTCTATATTGACGGTACGCCTTCTGAATCGTTATTGCTGCTGAATACAGCTCCCGCTGTTCTCGATCTGATAAACAAGATCATTAATTTTTTTTATACCACTGAGGCGGCAAACAGAGGCGCGTTGCCGACCCTGAAGAAACCTCTTTACCCCCCTTTTGAAGAACTCCACGCTGTAGTCTCTTGGAAAAACCCCGACAGGGAGCTCATTACCATACATAACCTGAGTGTTCGTGGGAGGAAACATCTCTGAAACCACGCTGTACGCAACCATTTAGGCTGTAGGATATGGGGATGAACTCCTTGCCGATGGCAAAAAGTGGCCATGGGCATTATATTGAATTATAGGTTTGTTACGAAATTATAAGGCACGAGGACTGCTGAGCACGGGTAACTCCAAAAATGTGTGTGTGGGGGGGGAGGGATTGCTAGTAATGGGAAGGTTAGTCCCTATTGCTATCAATATATCCTATCGGGCCGACCTCCACGCGCTTCCCGCTGGAAACTATCGTGACTAATTTATCGTTGAATTAGTCACGATGGGCTAACTGACCTGCCTTTTCATTCTCACTAATCATCCCTCACTGGTGCCCCGCCAGCGTATACCATTAGCGCAGGCGGGGTTACTATTTCATTATAATCTATTAAAAAAAAACCCTAAAAATTTATTAAACACATGGACTTTTGGATAATCCACATGCAGCAGAATGTGCCCAGCATTGACGTCAAGCAGTCCGCGTGATGGCATCAACGCCCCTCGGCAACAAGCACTTCTTGTCTAACATCGACAAAATCATCTAGTTTAATTAAAAAAAAATCTTTAATGTAATATATATATATATATATATATATATATATATATATATATATATATATATATATATATATATATATATATATATATATATATATATATATGGAATAAACCTGAGTCGTCAGGAATGGCAACGCATGGGTGCTATCATGGACAAAACAGTATACTCTGTTATGTCCATGGTACTGCTCATGTCTATATAATCTATAGGCGACGGTTACTACTTTCCATCAGGTGGGCCGTCAGCTTGTCTGTCATTCTAATTTGCATAAAAAAAAAGATTTTTAATAAATTGTATCAAATAATTTCGATTTGTTTTAAATCCTTCGGCTGCTACTCACATAATTGGCTATATAATTCTCTATTCAGATAATTCTTACGTTAACCTATTAAGCGAACGAAGTCGCAGGTAAAACCTAGTTAATATGTATAAATTGAGGTAGTCGTTTGGCCTACAGTCTTACCGTTAAGTGTTAAATTAGAAAAATGTGTGGCATTAAGGAATTCCTGCAGCGTTGCTGAAGAAGCAGTCACAGAGTTCGGTCGAGGTGACGGCGGCGGTGGTGACAGCGCGGAGCCTGGTGATACCGATCCTGATGAACACGGGGTAGACCCGCCACAATACCTGTTGGAAAGCATTTAGTCTCTTTATTACCTTAAAAGCTGTTTTAAACCGTACTCCAAAAAGTGTGGACTGAAAGACGATATAGTGACAAAAATTTAAAAGGGAATGTTGTGTTGGTTTGGCCATTTGGAGAGGATGGATGCAAGGGTTATGAAAGAGATTTATCGAGCAAGAATGAATGGAGATGTCGGTAGGGACCATCCTATATAGACGTATGTCGACCAAATAGGCGACGTGCTGAAGAAGGACCAAATTACCCGGTGTTAAGTCAACCGGTTATGAAAAAATTGATAAATGTGGAAGAAACTGCCCACTCACTACTTCCTATGCCACTGCGTTAGATTGATTGGAAGAGATCTCTTTTAGAGATAAATTCGCCTTTACTAACATTGTTTTAACTTATTGTTGTTACTGTATGTTTTAGTGCAATAAAGAATATATATATATATATATATATATATATATATATATATATATATATATATATATATATATATATATAAGAAATGAAAGACGTTCGTTTGATTCGAAGCATTTGGTGTTGCATTGTTTCTGCCTACTCTAATGGGAGAAAGGCGTGACAGATATGTACGTATGTGTGTCTTTTGAGGTAATGTTTATAAATGAAATTAAACTTTATGGTTTCGGGATAGTATGGGCTCCCTGGGAATATGAATGTATGAGAATAGGAATGAATGGAATACCTTTCTTTGGATAGATATAGAAAATAAAGTAGTATTTTACATTAACATTAATAGACAAATTTTTGATATCTTGGATTATATTAAGATAATTTTCATAGGAATCTCTTTTTGGAAACAACTTTACTTATAGATTACTTAGTCTCGCTCGCGGACCGAAGAACGCAGTCAGGCTCATTCTCGTTACACTGTCATTCATGGAAGTAAAACCGCTAATTACTACAATAAAATATTTAGCCTATGATACTTGCTGACGAGGTAAATTTCTTTGGTGGAAGAAGTGTTTAAATTGGTTGAGCAGTTTTAAGGTTTATTACAAATCAACAAACATACAAAAAATTTAATATTTCCTTTTTATAATATAAGTATAGATATATGACTAGTAAAACATTTAACAATCCGATTGGGCTGATCGACCAGAGAGTTTCTCAGGGCGATTCATTGGCCCAAATTCAACTGATCTTATCTAGCTCATCTTCTGGCATTCTTTTATTTTTGGCATTCTTTATATAAAATGCATTTGAAAATAAATTTGGAATTAAAAATGAACCTGTATGTGTTATCGCAGAACTCGAAACTGAATTCAGTGTTGAAGGTAGTAGAGTCATCTAAAAGTGGGCCCATGAGTGTGTCTTCACCACCTCCGGTGCCAGCTTCTAATCCGCACCCCGAAAGCAGTGATGAACTCTCGTTCTACAATAATAGTTTAATTAAAAAAAATTGTAATAAGTTTTATACTTATAACAAACTTATGTCATCGTTTGGATTCATCATCAATAGTTAGTTAAATCATCCTTTTATTACAAATATCAATGCGTTATGACTATATAAATGTAACTAATTTATCTGGGACTACAGTTAAATTTAAAAGTAACTTTAAATCCAACTACGTGAAAGAAAAATATAGGTGTTCACCTTAGCAATGTTCACCATACATAGCAGCAGTTAATAAATTACTAATATTTTTTTTCTTACAAGCAATTCAGACACACGTTGGACGATAATCCGCTAGAGAAATTGTGGGCTTCAAGTGTGTTACACATATTTAATAGATGCAGATACCTCAGGATTTGCATCAGCTAACTTTGATAATAAAAACAACGATATAAATAACGTTTAACAGTAGATAACTAACAAACAACATGACGGCTATATTAACGAGTTTTATTCATATATCTTTAAAACATTTTATCTTATTCATTTACCTTTATTCTATCAGGCATAGCTGCAATAATCTCCTCAGCCAACGTGAATACGCGGTCATCCTGCTCCCCTGAAACGTTTTTGTGAAGTGAATCCTCTTAGTGCTGTAAGTTCTGTATCAGAAAATATCTGAAATCTTTTAAATCAATTTATAACATTACCCAAGAATTAGATTTTGTTACTATTTTCAAAATTAGATCTATGCTAATAAAACTTTACAAGAGCCAATATTTTCATCGACTGTATAAATTATATTGTAATTACACTTATATTAGTAGTTATTGCCTCTTTAATGACTTAATAAGATCACAGTGATCTTTATAAATATCCATGTAAGTTTTTCACCAAATTTGTTATTATGGTATCTTAAAATCATACCCCATAAACACCAAATTTTTATTTAAGTTTATTATCTATAAGACAACACTTAAATTACATAAAGCATAATACATAATATTTTTACTTACCTTTGATAAAATTGTTAAAAATTTGAAAACAGAATTTTTTTTTAAGTACTCTGCAGTCTATTACAGAATAGTAAATTGTATAACAAGAATTCAATAAATTCACATGATTTTACTTTAGAAATGACTGTATGTTCGCAGTGACCCTTTATTTTCTGTAAATGCTGTAGAGTACTTTCATTAGCAAAATTGAAACATGTTATATTTTATCGTGCTATTATAATTACTTCAATACAAATCAATTAACAATATTTACAATTTAAATCCAAAACAAAAGATTTTAACAAAATAACAAAGAAAAACTAGACTTTTTAATTTTCTGAATATTGATTAATTAAACAATACTGAAACATACAATTTTCCATACAAACTTACCTGCTTTAGAGAGTAACCAATAATTACAAAACTAACTACACATAAAAAGCTTTCATAATATAAATATTGAGTCATGCAAGCAGTTTAGCTGGCATGCGGTGTCGTGTCACGTTATACAAATGTCCATGTTACTGATTACTGAGAATTGTGTATTGAAACAACGTAGTCTTAAAGTGTATAGAACTTGAAGAGGTAAATAAGCCAATCAATTGGACTATGTTTGAAAGTAAAGTGATAGTGGATAGACCGATACGAACCATTGAAAGCGACATCGAAGGACAACATCGAGAAAGCTAGACCGAAATTTAAGATTTACGTAAAACGGTTAACGTTACGTTTGTGCAGGGTTATATTAAAATTGTTAGCATCCTTATAAGAAAGTTGTCTGTTTATGAAACTAAACATATTTACTAAAGAAACATGCAACGGAAAATTGAAAAAGAAATTGAAGCCTCTCATATTGGAGGTGCGGTCAATCAATTTCAATCGTTATTCACCATGAATCAGGAAATATCTAATTGTCAAATTAATATGTGAGGCTCAATTTTTTTATTGTTTTCCGAAGCAAATTTCTACAGAATATATGTTGTTTCACAGTAATATTACTCTTTCAAAAAAAAAATGCTAACGATTTTGATTTTACTTTGTAGAATTACAATTGAAATAAAAACAAAAAAACAAAGTCGGTTCAGCTTATAGGATTCTAATACAAACAACAAATAGGATCTCCGTTCTTGGTAGGATACGAATATAGAAGAACTACAAGTGGTCTACCGACATACAGTGTTCACGTTCAGCGCTATAGACTGGCGACAGAAAAGGACAAAGGTACAGACAATATAATATGTTAGAAGAAGAGCAACGAACTGCCAGAACAATGATGCAACTACTACAATTACAACATCAATAGATAGGACGAGCGGAGGGTAGTTTTCCCATGAAATGGTATAGAACAGTTTTTAATTGCAATCTCCATAGCCAATTAGTTTTTGGATTCTAGCTTTGTAAATGATCATCGATTCAGCTTGATAATATATTTTCAATGTAGTTATATATTATATTAAAATTAGAGTTAATATATATAATGAAAGCTAAATTAATAATTAAGTTTGCTAAAATTACAGTATTTTTATCGCCAACATATTTTTTTTCTGTATTACCAAACTGCAACTTACATTTCTTTAAAATCTTTATTGCTGTTAATACTGCTTATGTACAGCTGATTTCATAGTCTGTTACAAATTCCAAAGGTACTTTCAAAACAAAATTAAAATTAACAAGTTAACTTAGTACTTTCTAAATTACATTTTCCTTTTTCAAATTAGATATAAATTCTCCAACTACAACATATTCTTCGTCTAATTCGATCAATTCAATGTCAATAGCTTCACAGTGAGCATTAAAAGGTATTTAGCTAGCGTCTACACCATTAACTACCCGCCGCCGAGTGCTGGCTCGTGGCGTCCAGCTGCGCCCGTGCATTACCGGCAACGGTGTGGGTGACTGACCTGGCGCGGCGCGCGGCGGCGGCGAGGCGGAGCGGTCGGACAGCGACTCCACGTCTATGAGCGGGCTGGCGGCGCGCCGCCACGCCGTCTCGCCTGGACAGGGACTACTCTCACCACCGCACGAACTGAGTTCCTTCCTTTCGACTCTTTCCCCATTCACCTCTTCACCATCGGATCGTTCATTTTTATCCTACGTTACGTTTCTTTTTTACCCTTAGATCACGCTTTACAGTTTGTCAACTAGATATTCATACCCATTCAGTATTGTGTTAGATTGTTATTTTCTTTTGTTTTAATTTTACTTTATTATTTATTATTACTCTAACATCTTTGTATAGAATTAAGCGGTACAAATAATTAATTCCTTTGATTATTTTTACAATAAATTAAAAATTTAAACAAATATAATTTCTACCATTGTTTTAAACTTAGATAAAGAATAGAATCAATAGTCTGTTCTGAATATTCTCATCAATATCGTATTGTTAAAAATAATCCATATTGTTTAGAAATAGGTGTATAATCTTGCAAGTAGAATCACATTGCTGTCGCATGTAATTCGAATATTCGCTGCATTGAAGAAAAGAACTCATTTCGCTTAACAGAAATGACCCAGACGACGCTGCCAAAACCAATGTCGACGTCCGAAGCGATCGTAGCGAAAAATCAAATTTCATCAATCAACCTTCAAAAAATTCAGGCGCCGTGCCGATATAAATAAATCAGCAAATGAAAATCGAATAGACTATGGAGTGAAAATAAGTAAAACGGATGAGAACTTACAAAGAGCTAGATCCATGCGTCTTCCGATTTTTGAATCTCCAATACTATCTTCTGAGGTGTCCGAATCAAGAGGTAGTGACATGCTCCTTTCCCATCTGTGAGATTTAAAACTTTGCTCTCGAAAATGCTTTTTATTATTTTTACATATTAATATTTAGATTAGATGCTCAAGATCTTGATTTAACTAAAAACCATAATGCCACATACTTGCCAAAAAAGAAGAGTTAAATATTCTATACCTATAGACCGTACAGGTAACTCAGATAAACTTAGCAGTTTATCAGCATCTCCGTGTCTATCATTCTTACATACATAGAGGAGCATAAACCTGTCCCTTTTGAGGGGTTTTATTAGGCCTTATGATGTTTTAAGAGAGTCACTCTGCTGCTCATCCCTCAACCACTAAGTTCCCTTAGTCGCCTTTTATGGCAGCCACGGGAAAGAAAGGGGTGGCCCATTCTATGCCGGGACCACACAGCAATCAGGGTAATATAAAAAAAGAAAATTCTCACCGTGCAGAACCATTATCAGCTTTATCAATAGCAGAACTGGATCTGAAAGCGTCTGCCATATTGATGCCGCTGTCTATTGAGGGTCGCTTAACAAGATTGCTCTCTAAACTACCAGCACGACTTTTTTGTGACAAACTGCAAAATAGAGAAGCAATTTAAAAGAAAAATATTTCTAAATTTAAAACTTTTTGAAATGATTTTCATTCGAGATTTTGAAATTATTGATTAAAGAACCTAACGGAATGGTTAATTTTTTTAATATAACATTTTAGAAGCTACTTAATTTATACACGACAGATGGTGTTTATTTATCTAGATTAATGAAAAAAAAAATATTTGGAAGATATTGTAAAATCTATTAACTCATAGTACATTCTTCTTGGTGTTTCATTATTTCTTCTTAGTATCTAATCTTTATTAATATTATAAATGTGAAAGTGTTATTATTTACTTACTATTTATTTACTCATTATTGCACCAGAAACATAAAAATTTGCAGTAGCATTATTATTTCTTTGTTACTTCTTTTTCTGCTTTTACTCAACTAATTGTTATGAATTGTAATATACGCGTACTATAGGATTATGACATTATATGGGATTGAAAAACCATATATATTTTTTATTCTGGTCACTCCGTATACATTAACTTTTATTTGTCATCAACATCATCGTGATCGAAAATGCTATCAATAAATGCTAATAAAAGTCCTGTTTACCTGTGAGGTTTTAGGAACACTCCATCTTTCTGCGGCGGGTGTATCCGATCCAGTAACGCAGCAAGTCTCATGTGTCCAGATCTTCGTGCCACTGCGGCTGCTTGTCTTGCGCCAGCTTCACTGCGAGTGCCTGCACTCCATCGCGCCAGCACCACTGCTGTCTCTACATGACCAGCTGCGCTAGCTACCATCTTAAATGTAAAAACATTTTAATGATCAGTTGGTGCTTTCTGTTTCTTGATTTCTAATTACTTAATTATTACTATGTACATAAAAGTTTCTATAAATATTTGGATGATTTTTGCTATAACTACAGTAATAACTTATAAAAAAAGATCAACTTCATAATTTTAAAATTTATAACAACATCATATTGAGAACTTATTAATTATAGACATAAAACAGCTACATTTCTTGAGATGTTTATAAAGGACGGCTGTTTTCTGCATTACTCTATTGATCAGGTGGGCCGTATGCTTGTTTGCCACCTCAGTGGTATAAAAAAAATGATATAACAATATATTATTAATGTAATAAAATTATAAGTAAACGATGTCTGTATATAAAAAATATTTAATGTAAGGAATCTTAATAAAAGCTAAAACAAAAATTATTTGAACTTACCAGAGGCGTACAGTTGTCACTATCTCGTGCACCTAAATTCACTTCCTTCTCCAAGGCCAAATTACTATCATCCTGTCGCCATCTCAGAAGCACTGTCGTTAGCTTTGTATATCCTAATGCTGCAGCAAGATGCAGTATCGTGGAGCCATCTTCTCCCGAATCTGTTGTGAAACCTTCAGATTGGCCAACTGTCCTTGAACTTAAAGTTCGACAAAATGTAACTAGACGCTCTTCGAATTTTGGATTCGAGTAAATCTGGACGTCTTCGATCTGAAATAAGGAATGGTAAAAAATTATAATCTTAGTAATACTCATATGATGAAATTATAACCAAACGATATCTAAACGTAGGAGATATTTAAAATAAAATGATATTATTATGTGATAATTTTAATTATATTTTTTTAGTCTATCTGTCTGTATGTTTGTTCATTTGGCGTCACGTTGAAACTACTGCTTCAAATTGGATGCAGCTGTGTTTCTGAAGATCTAAATTAAAATTTGTATTTTTATAAATAGAAGTTTTCCTGCTTCTAAAATCCATGCATACGAAGTAGCAAGCAAAAACCTAGTAAATTATATAGATATACATACAAATCGAATTAGTAAACATTATTTAAATATTCTCACCGTAGCTTCACGATACATATACCCAAACATTTCGTATATACGCAGAAATCTTCAACTATTTCTTAAAAATAATGATCCCAATGATTTTAACACTAGATACAAATTTAAAGTAGCCATACGAAGTATCGAGAAATTATTAAGAAGTCTTTTATGGGAACAGTATTAAATATTATAAGATGATAGCGAAGGATATTTTGGATCTACCTTCTAATGACCATGTAATTTTCGATAGTGTACATTTAAATTAATACAAATAATAATAACAGAGAATAAGCATGTAGTAGATTCATACTAAAAAATAATTCAAAAGTATTTGTAAAGGAGTTTATTTGATAAAAGATTTATTCGAATTATTATAGAAATGTTAACTTCAAGATTTTAATTAGATTGTACTTCCTTTCCACAGTGACATTATTATAGTTAACAAAGTAACGGATGCTACTAACATTTATGAAAAATACGAAATATGCTATTTTTCTAGGTCCACCGGAGCTGCTTTTATCCTCACCTTTCTCAGTGCTACCCCGCCAGCGTAGCACTGTTAGCAGAAACGGGCTTACCACTCCATTATTATCCATATAAAAAATGGCACATGGTTAATAATATATCAAATATACATACCTGATTATTATCATCTGCTGGTTCAGTTTTGACTTGTAACCGTCCATTGAGCCGCTGAAATCGTTGCAGCAGTAGGAACCTTCTGAAATCCAGCGACGGTAATGGGGCAGAGGCCGGAGATGAAGGCACCGGGACTGGGCCTGCTTTATACTCAAATGCCACAGTATCTGATACTACACGACCTCCCCGAGCAACCTGAAGCGCTGCTAGACCGGCTTCGTGCGCTGAAAGTAATGTAAAAAAATTATGTCAAAATTTATGCTAATATTAATTTCAAAATATGTACCGAGAAAGACTTGAAAATGACGTTTACTTACACTTTTTTTATGCAACTTGTAATGACAAACAAGCTAATGGCAAACCTGATGGAAAGTGGTAACTGTTGCCTAAAGACATGACAGTACCATGGACATAACAGAATATACTGTTTCGCCCATGATATGGGTCGTTAACTTATTTTCTAATTAAGTTACATTAAGAAAGTGTAAATTTTAAACTAGAAAGTGGTATTATGATAAAAGTAAGTATTCAATTAGAACGAATACTACTGGGAATTTAGCAATAAGTTATTTTACATCCGAACATCCGAGAATAGTCCAGGGTCAAACTCAATTTGCAACTTTAGACCGCTTGTAAAGTTTACAAGTTTAATTACATTTAATGTACTTGTACTGTCCAAATTCAAATATATTGCATACATCAACCGCAAGTGACAGACGCATTGTATACTATTTTAATCTTAAGTATCTACCAACAACAGGGTCATAGTCTTATATCATCTAATGAATAGTAAACTATTGTACAAAATGAAGATTTGCAATACCAAATATATGCGATACTACTTATAGAAATCACACTATTGTTATTACCAACGCGTCGTCATAGGCAACGGTAACTCTATTTACCATTAGAGAGGCTGTATGCTTGTTTGCTACCAAAATAATATAAAAAATATCCCCTTGTACATTATTTAAATACAAAAAATGTTATCAAATGTATAAAATAATGATAGATTTACCTACCTGGACAATAGCATCGAAGTAGACCATTCTGCACCAACTTTGAAGGTACAGGAAAATTATCAAAGAGGACTGTATACTGATCAGAGGTCTCAGTCCAAGGTCCAGCGACTAAGACCTTTACACCGCCCTCAGGGTAAGCCCATTCTGGCGAATAATCCGTAATGCTGAGAGCACCCGCGCCACTACAGTCCATTTGCATTTTCTCTTCTGGTGGCGATTTTTCGCAGGATACCTGTAATACGTCACGTAGAAAAGGAACTAATTAATTTGTTATAATTCATACAGATGCTTCCAAATAATTTAGGTACTCATAATTTCAAAATTAAAAGTGAAGTTTTAATTCATTGATATTTAAATAATACTGTAAAAACTAATAATATACTTAATAAAAAAAATTTAATTCAAATAATTTGAAGCGCACGTAAAATAAAAAGTAAAAAATAGTAAAAAAAAATTTTGTTGATAGAAATTAATAAGTATTATTTGTTTTTCAGTGAACTCTAAAACATCTTTTTCAGGAGTTAAAGAACTCAATATAATGCAATGCACCTAATATTATATATGTTACATTTGTTTTTTTCTGAAACAAAGAACAATTTAAAGACATGTCTTCGGATGCATATTATTAACATTGTTAACTTACCATAGTGTGCGTCGAGATTGAACTTGGATCCAGCACTTCTAATTCAGGAAAATCTCCTAGCATATCAAAAGCGTCAAGATTTACAAACACATTATCGTCCACAACTTGTGTAGGTGATGCTACTGCTTCACAACTTTCTATAAAGTCCATTGTATCTATCCCCGATACCATTACGTTAGCCGTATCGGAAGACCTTACACCGCTTCTATCTAATTCACAACTAGGCATATTAGCTGATAAAGTCTTTTGTATATCTTCATGCGATAATTCCAAAGTTTCATCAAAGAACCCACTAGAACCTAAATTTCCATCCGTACCAAGTAATACTAATGTATCATCACAGTTTTCCGTCATAACTTTACTTTCTAATCGTTCAACTAAATCAGGATACCTAGACGGCGTAGCTGGCGCACTTGCAACCATTTGATTTCTACTCCTTGGCTCCATTTTAATTTTCCTATCAAAAGAATTAATTTCTACTTTTTCCTCTATTTGGCTTTCTACTTCGAACGTCGAGTCTGTATTGTGCAAACACGAAGACGGCTGACTGTCAGGTACCTCTCTTTTCAATACGAATGTAGGCTTGTATTGTTGTCGGTACCTATCCCGAGGCTCTTCGCAGACAAATGACGTCAGTGACAAAGGAGATATTAAGGACGAATGTTGCTGGGCGGTGTTACTCGTTCCATTTAAAATTAAAAGACCACCTCCACCTTGAATTTGTCCAAGGGAGACGAGCAATGGCGACGCTGGCTGGGCAGATGGTCTGTGATCTCTGGTGTACTGGCGCGGTGGTTGCGACATGGGCCGTGGTGACGGGCCCGTTGTTGAAGAAACGTGATGGTCTGAAGGTGGCGGCTTGGCTGCCTGTATACGTCGTAAAGGATGTGCGCAAGTTCTAGAATCCTGACAAGTGGAGTCAGGACAACCGCATTCCAATTGTCTCGCTAGGGCTGCAGCTCTTGCAGCTCGCTGTTTCTCCATCAACTGCCCGACGATTGCTTCCACTGTTTCCGCCGTCTGAAACATTTTGCCCTGATGTTTATTAATAGTAGAAATTATCACATTCTACAAAAGGATTTCTTAATATATAAATTATTCTTATACTGACCGATATTTCCAGCTCATTGTTGATATCGTGCTCATCTTCGCTGAAGACTGAAACATAATATAAATATTTATTAGTTTCAATATCGAATTTTGATACTTCTTTGATAAATTTAAATTAATAATTTAAATTAACTTTTAATCAAAAATATTAATATGGTATTTCATATTTAATATACATGACTAACAAAAACTAGCCTAGTAACAATTGTTATTTTTAAATTTATTTTATTAGCTGACATACTAAATTGATTCATAATAATATATAAATTTAGAACTGAAATTTGATCTCAACAAGACCATATTTAATTTCAGAAAACAATGAAAAAGAACAATCTGACTTTAAAACTTCCAAACTCCATCGATAAAAAAGCCACCAATAATGGAATTAATTAATGAAGCCCGAACAAATTTCCATTAAATAATAATCAGTATTTATAACACGGATAGATTAATGCGGCATAATGAAATTGAATTTTACTGTTGATTTCATAAATATTCAGCAGAATGGGCTTCGAGTTTCCGTATTGCCTTTTAATTTCCACTGTTAACATTTATGAAATTTGAAAACTGAGTAAACCTTTATTAGCGCTCCTGTTATCTGTCAGGGCCATTAAAATTTATGGAGACCGCTAGAGATCGGTAGAAAGATTGTTTCTTTTCGTCTTTTTAACGCAACGTTCTTGTTTTAAAATTAAAGATAATTGCGATAATTACTTATCATTGTTTCTTTCTTTTTATACAACTTAGAATGGCAAACAAGCTGACGGCCTACCTGATGGAAAGTGGTAACCGTCGCCTATAGACATGAGCAGTACCATGGACATAACAGAGTATACTGTTTCGACCATGATACCCCCCATGCGTTGCCGTTCCTGAGGACTTGGTTGTTATGCCTTTGTACCCAGTAAATTCACGTCATATCCCACTCTTCAAACCGAAACACTGCCATGCAAACACAACTGCTTCACGGTTGAAACACGAATGGGACAGAGGTACCCAAGCAATCGACTTTTGTACAAAGTCTCCCTCTGGTCATTGTTTATATATACCTAAAAATATTTTTTATACACTGACTAGCTTTTACCCGCGCCTTTGTCTGCTTGACTGGAATATGTTTACTGACTAGGATAAAAACTAGCCTATATCCTATGGAGTATAACTTTTTCATGCAGTTTTGCGTGATAAATAATTATGAATGTTTCCTTTATAACTTCTGTATTTAGATTGTATTATAATTTTTGCGCCTTTTTAATGTGTAAAAACACATTTTATTTATTAAATATTTATTTATTTATTTATTCATAGGAAACCAGGGCTACAGTAGAGCAAAAAGATACAGTTTAGGATCACAAAATAAGTCACTAATAGGTTTTCACAAGTAGCAGCAATATAGATACAAGGCGCTGTGTACACAAAGCAACAAAAATAGGAGTGAACAAAAAAAAATTAACAAACAAGAGTAATGAAAACAAAAAAAAAATGATGAATAAAATACAAAATAAAAATTATTATTGATTTAAGTATTTGATTAAAATATGGCCTTCTTGTCCATACAATAGCTATTCAAACTGACTATGAATAAACTAATGTAGAAATAACTAAATATAGATACGCCAAGGTACATTATGTTCGTAAGTATATAGAACACTGATAAAAAACCGAATCAGCTAATTTGACAATTAGCTGACAAAAAGTTGACCCGTTTTTGAGACTCGATGCTCTATCTATATAATCTAAAAGTTATTCTTATTAAGTTATCTATTGCTACCAACATTATAAATGTGCCTAAAAGTGGGTTTGTGTGTCCATCATCTTTATATTTTACTTACTCTTAACATTTGGTATAAATCATTATAACAAACCATTAACGTCCCACTGTTCCGGACAGGTCTGTCCCAACAAGAGAACCCTCCTGACTTCCCCTTAATATTACCCTCCTATTGTTTGATTATATATGGTTTAAGCGGTTGCCGTGACCGAAAACGGTCAGGATTCTTCATTTATAGTTTAATATTACTATTGAGTGGTCTCAAGTTAACTATTTTTATATTTAACTATTTTAACTATTTTTATATATTTTATATTTAACAAATACATGGGTGGCCGACTTGACTAGACTTAAGATTTATAATATTTGGTCGTGTGGTTTCAGCATAGAATAGGCCACCCCTTCCTTTCCCGTGGGTGTCATAAGAGGCGACTAAGGGAGAGCGAGGGATGGGCATTAGCGTCCCTCTTAAAACATCTCTAAAGCCTGACTGCGGTTGCCAATCCGCCTGCCAAGCATGGCAACAAGTGGCAAAACCCACGAGGGGGAAGCTTATGTCCAGAAGTGGACAGTTCAAGGCTAATGATGGATGATGACCCATTTGTCCCAAAGTTATTTCTCAATATTCTCTTACAGTCAGTGTTCAAAGAAATATAAATGAACTCACACATAGGTTTCAATTGGCTGACCAGCTCGTCTTTGGTCCATTCTTTCTTGTCAGCCCAGAGTGCGAGACTGGGTGCGACTGCAGCCAACTTGTTGTCGTCAGGATATGGCACGTTGAGGTAGTGGACTAACACGATGTCAGGGTTCTGAAATGTTTTTTAAAGAAATCTGCTTTTATTGTGTCCTTATTTTTAAAACTTACATTAATAATCTTTTATATATAAATGTATTATTTATTTCTTATTAGACCTACTGTTGAAATCATGTTTGTTTCTTTCTTTAAATGTTGTTTTAAGTTTAAATACATACATACATACATAAGAAATAAGTAAGTAAGATAAAATAAGTAGCTTTAAGTTTTTAATATTTTATGTATAACTAGCAATCAAGCAAAAATTTTATGTATAAATAGTACTAATTTTCGAAAATCAATACATATAATAAAAAAAGGTTTCAACCAATGCAACTGATCGGTTCTTTTATAGCATTTTATATGTGATTCTTTAGATTAATATAACTATTTTATTTATATACCGATTGAAATGAAACAAATACTAAATATTAAGTGGAGCAAACCGCAATGCAATAGTGAAAACGGCATTCAAATCGGTTAAGCCGTGTCTGAGATTAGCGTGCATAAACGTACAGACAAACAGACAAAATTCTAAAATTCATTGTTTTTGGTTCTATTGCATTCATAAAGCTTCCTATAATAGTTTTTCTTATATATCTTCCAAGTACAGACAGCGGCCAGTTACAATTTTATTATATACATATATTGAAGATGTGTGCATCGATGCATTAATGTTACGTTAATTTTTTTTTTATTTCGAAAATTTGATTGTAACAATTACTTTTCATTTCAAGAAGTCATTGTTAAAAAAATATTATACGTAAATGAAGCACAGACACTCGTAAAATACGTATTTAGTGACGTGTGAAAATTTAGTGTAAGGCCACTGTGTACAGTAGAAAAGTGGAATAACGAGCCAGACTAGAGCTCATAAAACAGAAAAAAAAAGAAACGACAGAGACAGAACAGCGAAGAAGGGCCTGCAACTATTTAAGTGGTAGTAGGGTTGACTGCTGCCGGCATTCTGTGATTTCATTTCCAAATATAAACATATATATATATATATATATATATATATATATATATTGTTGTTGCACTTTGAACAAAAGATACAGCGATTAATTTAACAAGTTTAACAAAGGTGAGCTCATCTTTAAAAGAGATCTCTTCCAAACAACCCAATGCAGTTAGAGAGAAAATAATTAGCGGATAGTCTAGTAAAGGAAAGGGTATAGTTAAAAAAGTAAATAGAATACAAATAAAATAAATATACACAAATTGTATATATATATACAAAAACATAATAAATAATAATATTTATATACACACATATAACACATACAATAATAATTGCACAGTATTATTATGTATTATCAGTTAAAAGGTCAGATTTCAATCTTTCTTATCCTAATAAAAAAAAATGAATTTTTAATATTTTTATGTAATAATATACTATTATATATGTAATTGTATTACTACTTGCATTAAAAAATCAAAACTTTGATCTAAAAAAAAAATAAAAAAGATCATCATCATCTTCCCACCCTTATCCCAATTATCATTTGGGGTCGGCGTAATATGATTTTATCCATATTACAAAAAGATTTGGCTTTTAGTTTTACGACCGGCCGCCTGCCTGACGTCAACCTCTCAATAAAACAGATCATGATATGGATTTTGGTAAACAATTATTACGAATGGTTTGTTTATTTGTATAATAAAAATTAAATTTTAAATGTAAGCATTAGTGGAGCATAAATAAGTTAGCTCACTATGTTTTTCCTGATTGATTATTAATAGAGTTACTAATAAGATCTCATTTGAAACATTGATACACAATTAAAAGTTTTACAATTAAGGAAATATTTTGGCATTAAAGTTTCGATTACAAGCAGAGTTAGGTACACTGTAGTTGAAAGTACTAAATATTATATACACAGTCCAAAAATTCAGTTTTAATGTTTCAAACGAAAATTAGCGATTGTATTACAAAATCAATTTACATGTAGTAAACAGCTACACTACATAATCGGATTGTTTCCATTCATTTTTTGTAACGTCATACACTTAAGGTAACTGTTGAACTATATATAGGTAATAAAAATTTTCGTGTGATGACCCTACAATAACAAACGGCCTCTAAATCGACTCGACGCAGTTAAACAACGTATAAAATAAGTAATACACAATATTTTAATTTTCAACGGGAGGAACGAATGTAAAACGGAGTGCACCGTAATAACTATCCATTTGTCTTCAAAATGGCGGCAATAAACATGGCGCCATTATTTATGTAATGGCCGCCGGCCAGGGTTGCCACTCGACATGTGTGCTTTATGGTAGTTATTGTGGTTTTTCATTAACTCCTTGTTAACATGTGAATACGTTGTGAATAGGCCGTAAAGGGTTGTTGTGTGTGTACAAACAATATTTAATGTTGACTCGTGTATCTTTTAGCCGATTTATATTTTTTACACCGTTTTCATGACAAAAATATACCGGATGTACTAAATTATGTTACATTGCTCTATTATGTAATTAACTAATGGTATAATTAGTGTTGCCAACTTTATCTAAGCTAACATAAAACAGCTGGTAGGTATTGATACAAAAGTTTTATACCAATATATAGATTAGACTTAGGGTTTTTTTTTGATAACTGGATAATAAATAGACAGAAGCAAGGACGCGATATGCTGAATTAATAAAAGGACTTTAACTCGTAGTTAATTGATTAGAATTATTTCATTTAATTCCGCTGCTCCTAAGTATTGCTATAGGAGGTTAGATGGGAAGGAAAAATATTTTTATATTAATCCTACTAATCTTTTCTATCTTCTAAATATATTTTCTATCTTATAAATCTTTTTACTCTCTGGGCGTCTTAACATCTTAACCAATTGTTATGAAATCTGACATACTTACTGGTAATATTTGGGATGAAGAATAACAATTAAAAAAATTACCTTGCAAATACAAAAAACTTTTTCAAATAGACTTGTCAAATAGACAAAGACAATGTTACAATCACGAGATATAAGAATCTTACTTTTTATTTTTTGAGATACTTTTTTATTTCGGTTTGTAGATGAAGTATCTGCTACTAAAAACTAATTTTGATAAAGCGGTTAGGTAGACTATCTTAATCTCTCAACACTCTCTGACACAATAACACTACAAGAGGATATAGATGCTGTATATGAGTGGGGCAAAAGCAATGACCTCTCGCTTAATATCTCTAAGTGCAAAACTATTACTTCTTCGCGAAAGAGTTTTCCGTTTGACACTGCCTATAAATTAGGTGATACCCCACTTGGAAGAACTAAATAAAATGCAGAATCTTGATGTTTTTGGACTTAAAATAGGACTGAACATGTTGTTTCTTATATCTTGACGACTTAGGATCTACCTTGTAATAACATTGTAACAAGGAAGTAACAGAGGGGGACTTTGTACAAAAGTCGATTGCTTGGATACTTCTGTCCCATTCGTGTTTCAACTGTGAAGCAGTTGTGTTTGCAGTAAAAATACTTGAATTGGGTATAGAAATAACAAGTCCTCAGGAATGGCAACATGTATCATAGGCGAAACAGTAAAATATTGTTTTATAGCACGTTACAATCATAATAAAGTTGTATAAAAAAAAAACTTCTATATAAGACTATATAATCAAAAAAGTGTAAGAACAAAATAAGATTCGATGCTTAAAAAATGTATTTCCCTGTATATGTATTTATATATTTATTTGAATATAATATTTCAGTATTTATTAATAACTTAAAATATACATTTATATATTCATTTATTTATCTTTGTTTTATTTAAAAACGAACAGTGTTTCGTGCCTCCGGTCAAACTGTTTATAATTACTCTTCTCCGTCCAAAGGTTGCCTGGTCGAAATCGCTCTTAGCGATAAGGCCGCCCATTGTTTTCTTAGTGTAATATTTTCTTGAAATTATTTGTATCTATAATAAGTTTATTATTATAATCTTATGGAAAAACAATAAAGAGTATCTATCTATCTATCTATTTTGATTATCTATCTATCCTATTTAAGAGCTGCGCTCTTGTCGGTGGATCTCTTTCCACTCACTACGATTTTCAGCGAGTCTCTTCACCTCTTGATACGACACGACACCAACTCCTTCCTTGATCTGCCTGATGTAACTATGCCTTGGTCTCCCTCTTCCCCTCCTTCCTTCTATTATAATGTTCACAAGTTCGTCGTGTCGTATCAATTTCGATAAACTGGTCAAAATATAAATAAGTATCTGTCAATGATTAACAACAACAGTATATTAGATTAAAGTGGAGTTATTTAAATTGAAATGCCCGAATCCGTAAAATAGGCAATAAAATTTACGTGGGCAATAAAAAAAAGGTTTAATTGGCAACCCTGACGTTTTATTGTCAAGTTCAGAATTTGTAAGTTGAAGTTTAGAAAAATACTTGAATTGTAAACAACACATATACTTAAAATATGGTTTTAAGCAGTCAATGTAATAAATTGCCCAAGTGAACACAAAATGTACGATATATCTCATTTATTTGTAAAAAACTACTAAAAAAAACGAATCTTTATCTCTAAATACGGAATGGTCGTTTAGTCCCGGCATAAAATAGGCCACCCCTTCCTTTCCCGTAAGTGTCGTAAGAGCCGACTAAGAGAGGGTGAGGGATGGGCAGCAGCGTCCCTCTTAAAACATCTCTAAAGCCTAACTGCGGTTGCCAATCCGCCTGCTAAGCGTGACAACTACTGGCAAAACTCCCTAAGGGGAGGCTTACGTTCAGCAGTGGACAGTTAAATACTGATATGATGATGATGATGAATTTGGAATGGAAAACCAACTAATGGCCTTCTTAATGTAAAGTAATAACCGTCCTCCATAGTCCTGACCTAAACAATATCTTGCCCAAATTTTACCGAACTTAGTGTTACTTTGCGGAAGTCCATACTACTGATTGTGGTATCAGCCGTTGACCCCCCTAGGGGGGAAAGGGATTGTAAGCAATTTGTTTTGTGTGTGGTAGTTTGACAGCCCCATTACTAGCAATATGCCCTAACAGGTCGATCTCCACGTAGTTTCCCCTGGAAACTATCGTGAACAATTCTCGTTCAATTCGTCACGATGGACTAACTGACCACTTCATCCTCATCTATCATTCTTCACTGGTGCCTCGCTGGTGTATACCGATAGCGCGGGTGGGGTTACTATTTCTTTATCACCCAAAAAAAAGGAAAATACCCTCCCCCATAAGGGAGGTATTACCAGTAGTCGCCACGCTTGGCAGGCGGGTTAGCAACCGCGGTTTTTTTTTAATGGCTGATAATGGTATGGTAACCCCATTTTGCGCTATCAGTATACACTGGCGGGGCACCAGTGAGAGATGACAGATGAGGATGAAAGCAGGTCAGTTAGCTCATCCTGACGACCCAACTAGAATTAAACACGATGGTTTCCAGGGAGAAACACGAGGAGGTCAACCTGATAGGGTATATTGCTAGAAATGGGGCTATTTGACCCTATTACTAATAATCCCTTTCCCCCGGTAACCGCAATTAGGCTTTGGTGATGTTTTAAGAGGGACGTTGCTGCCCATCCCATTCCATTAATGTTCAGCATTAAGTTATATAAATTACGTTTCGATTTCCTTTGGCACAAGCATCAATTATATAGAACGAGTTGCCAACAAAATCGATGTAGTACCAACAAACCGCTAATATCTATCAGAGTTCACACAAGCCAAGTCAGCTCATTGACACCTGTTACGTTGCAGTCGCTCCCAGTCTAAACCAAAAGAGCGTAACTCTCTTTTTCAACAATAAAAATACAAAACTTTTTCTCCGTAAAATTGTCTCACTGATCTTTATTTGTAAGACACTGTGGCTTGGTAATCCCTTATAGGCTCCCGCGATACAAATTCGCCTATTACGGGGTCCAATTTACTTTTTAGTTGAATAAATAAATAAATAATAATATATACCACAAAGGCTATGGATAATCATAGATTATATTTTTCATAGATTTCAAGATTTTGACTAAACTAAAATACGTCTAATTCTTTTGGAGCTGGTCGCGTGTGTAATTTTTTTATATCACAAAGGTGGCAAACAGACACAGCCCGTCTGATGGTAAACGATTACTGTAGTTAATAGAAGCAAATAAATAGAAATGGAATAAAAACAGTGAAACTAAGCGATACTTTTACTTAACAGATAAAATCACTATCACTACATAGTATAAAACAAAGTCGCTGTCGCTGTCTGTCCGTTCCAATGTATGCTTAAATCTTTAAAACTACGCAACCGATTTTGAAACGGTTTTTTTTTAGTAGATATGAGTAATCAAGAGGAAGGTTTATATGTATAATACATGCATAATATAGTAGAGAAACACTGATAAATTTAGAGATTTCTAATGTGATGTCGTAATGTAATGGAGGCCGGAGGTGTTATCTATGTAGTATCAGCACTGCACCCATGCGAAGCCGGGGCGGGTTGCTAGTAATATTATATAATAGATTATTCAAAGATTATAATTAATATTATTCAAAATACAAAGAGCAAACTAAAAAATAGGTCTTTTCTGTAGTTTAATTTCCAATGGCAAAAATAGAAGATTCTCTGCTGGATGGTACTCTTTTTCTGTTTATAAATCTGTTCGTACATAACTTCGTCAGCAGTAAACCAATTTGGATTTTTTTTTTCTTAGATTGCTTCCATTGTAATTTTATCAAAATTGACTCAGGAGTTCAATTTTTAGATCAAAATAACTGGACTTTTCAATTTAAAATAATTTATTGTGTCACGATTGAAATTGTTTTTTTTATATATATATATATATATATATATATATATATATATATATATATATATATATATATATATATATATATATATATATATATATATTTGACAGTTATGTTATATAAAACAATTATGTTATGACACATAATTTATTACTTTTTAAATTTTTATTTATTGCTATAGCAGTTTTTGGTGACTATAGTCACCAAAAAAACTTTTACAATATAGACAAATTTATTAAAAATCATTGCCACCAAAGTACAGTCAAAAAATATACTGTACAACTTTCTGCAGTAAAGAAAATAACTTTTTCAACCATCTTCAAAATGAGGGAGATTCTCAGTTCGGTTGTATTTTTTTTATATATATATTTTAATACGTCATAACATTTTAGATCTAAATAACTGGTTTTGTTTTTGTTTTTTTTTTGGGGTTTTTTTTGTGAATTACATCTTAAAAATAAAAATTCAACATATCTTTAAATATGTTGAAATTATTTCTAAGCAAAAAATTATACAAATTGAGATATGTCCTTTCGCTGTGACGGTATAGTATGTAGGTGCATTGGGCCATTACAAATTCAATTAGCTGACGGCATTTCCCGCTGCGGATTTGATGGCATTTCCCAAATGGCATTTTATAACGAACGCGTGGCGGTCATAATCGTTCCTATGAACAGTATTATTAGAGATCTGTACACATTTTTTTTTCTATTTTTTTTTATACAAATTAGAACAGCAAACATATTGTCAGCCAACCTTATGGAATAAGATATAGGCCGTTTACATACACGAATAACAAAATAGAGTTGGGCATCACAGTATAATATTCTATGTGTGATTACACAGACTAAAATACTGCGGTACCTACCTTGAGCGTTACTTTTCCTGAGAATTATTTTAATTTTTAATAAACTATCGTTGAAAAGTTTTTTTTTAAGACCAAAAACTTTTTGACTTCAGAAATAAAATACGAAGTATGTTAAAAAATTTTCAGTGTTATATTTATATGCAATCGTCATAGCAATGCGTTCATTATATCAACCGTAACTGTCCACTGCTGAACATAGGCCTTCCTCAATAAGGAGAAGCTTGCCAGTTGTTACCACGCTTGGCAGACGGGTTGGCAACCGCAGTTAAGACTTTGGTGATATGTCAAGAGGGATGCAGCTGCCTATCCCTCGACTATTTAGTTCCTTAGCCTCTTACGACACCTACAGTAAAGGAAGATGTGGCCCATTCTATTCCGGGACGACACGGCGATTATTTCATCTGTAGTGACATAGAAAATTACATTTAAAATTTTGTGAATCAACCAACTCGAACCAGTTCTGTGACCAATAAAAAGTTTTGCTTAACGTCCAACTTTTATGTGGTATAAATCGGAAAAGTCGAGGATATACCATTAATATTACAGCTATTCAATAAATATATCACAAATACTGAATTTGAACGTTCGAGTTTTATCAATTTCACGAGGTACGTATCAAAAGGGGCGTATTTCATTTGGGCGACGAGATGGCTCGTATCCGTTTAGAAGTTTTGCGGTTTTGAAAGGTGGATTTCTTTTGCGTCATGCCACGAATTTTCAATGCGAATTTGTTACATCTTACGCGGCTTCTGAAAGGGGATTCTCAATTTTTTTTTTCACTCGGTAAGGTTTCCTTCAATATTAATACCGTATTAATTTCGCAAACATTTTTCTTTACGAGACAAAATACGTGTACTATATTGCAAGACAACATATATATACTGATGAAAAAAATTAAGGGATCAAAAAGAAATCAAATATTTAGGTGATTTTCAATAGGCTGTAACTTGGAGAAAAATCATTGTACATTTTAAAAAAGGAAATTGTAGTTGTATTTTTTTTTTAACCCTATAATTTTTTCCATTAGTGTATATTAGTTACCTTATAACTTTGTTAGTTATGGACCAACTTAAAGAATTCTATTTCCTGTAAAATTTTTCCTGTAGTTGCCACGCTTAGCGGGCAACTTGGCAACCGCAATTAAGCTATAAATCGCAGGCTACAACGTACTAATAAATCTAGCATTGATTTCATACAATGGTACTGATTCTTTGGACCATTTCTCTGTCTCTTAATTTAATTTTTCAATTTTATAAGTACGCATAAATTACTATTTTACTTAATTTATTTTCATCATAATCTAAATTTATAATAATTCTGACCTAAACTTATCATAAATTTAGTTTATATTGGTCTTTAGAATAAACATTTCGCTACTATATCAAATTAAAAAAATAATTCTAAAATTAGTTTTAAGGAAACACTAGAATGAAAAATAAAATTACGTATACATATATTATGGGTGAACTTGACGTTGTTGATTGAAAAATATATTTATTATTATTACTACAGTACTTCTAATATTTAATTTAAATTAATTTTGATTTTGTTAAACCTACCAAAAGAAAATTAGAATGGCAAACAAGCTGACGGCCCACCTAATGGAAAGTGGTAACCGTCGCCTATAGATATGAACAGTACAATGGACATAACAGTTTCACCCATGATACCCCTCATGCGTTGCCATTCCTGAGGACTCAGGTATTATTACTCCGTACCCAGTAAATTCACGCCATATCCCACCCTTCAAACCGAAACACAGCCATTCAAACACAATTGCTTCACGGTAGAAACACGAATGGGACAGAGGTGCCCAAGCAAACGACTTTTCTACAAAGTCTCCCTCTGGTGAAATTTTAGACACAAAGTAATTTTTTTTAATAAATGACTAATGATTAATGGCGTCTCAGAATCGACCTCGATACCAGTATAATATAATGTTAGATTATATAGATAGAGTGTCTCCATAGAAATGCGTCAAGAAAAACGGGTCAACTTTTTCATATAATTTTGCGTGATAAATAGTTATGAGTGATTCTTTTATAACTTCTATGTTTATTTTATCTTATAATTTCTGCATCTTTTTAATGCATAAACACTTTATTAAATAATAAGTTAAGATACATTTTATGCGTAAGTATATAGAGCACTGATAAAAAAACGAGACAGCTAATTTGACAATTAACTGTCAAAAAGTTGACCAGTTTTTCTGCTCGATGCTCTATCTATATAATCTAAGAATATAATATTTACCTGTAACAACCAGTAGCAACGTCTGTGGAACGTCGGTAAGATGGCAGAGTGTACGTAGCAACCGTATATGCACTGTGGACAAAAGAAAATATATAAATTAATACCACAATCTGTTAAAAATTTAATAGATAGATAGATTTTAACAACATAGAGGTTTCTTCAGGGTCGGCAACGCACGCGTAATACCTCTGGTATTGCAGGTGTTCATAGGCTACGGTAACCACTTACCATCAGGTGGGCCGTGTGCTTGTTTGCCACCTCAGTGGTATAAAAAAAATTGAATTATCTATGATCAGATGATTATATCTTTACGTGTGTAAATTTACACTTAAATTCATACAATCCAATAAATTACATACTCGTAATTATAAAAACAAAACATAAAAGATCAAATACAAAAATTTGGTGTAAACTACACCAGTGATAGTTTCGCATAAGTGCAAAGCTATGAGAGAATAAATGAGAGCCTACTTCTTTTTAAAGTCGGTTAAACAATAAAGTATGTCTCACAATAGTCATTATTCTAAGTACATAATTAGAAAATAATGTGCACGCATTCTAAACACCAGCACTGTACCCTCTTAAAACAAGGCCAACCGAAAATTGGCACCTGCACTAACTTCGTTACCCCGAAAGCCTCTTCGTGTCGCGTTGGTACAATTCATAAGCATAGCGATTTTTTTATTTTACAAAGAAAGCGATTACATATTTAACAAAGAAATAATCCAATAGACCTGCAGTTATTTTTTATAAAAATTGATAATTATTTTTTTATACCACTGAGGTGGTAAACAAGCATACGGCCCATTTGATGATAAGCGGTTACAGTAGTCTATGAACGCTTGCAATACTAAGGGTATTACGCGAATGTTGCCGACCCTGAAGAAACCTCTTTAACTCTTGTCAAATATTCAGATTTTTCAATTTTCACATATTACTACAATATTCAGAACACTTTGCGTTTAAAAAAAGAACAGATTTATAGACTCGAAATCCGATTTTTTTTAAACGCACGTTTGTCCGAAATATGCTATTACTAACAATCTCTTTCTCCTCAATATGTCCTATTTACTTATAAAAAATTTCGGTGATTTTTGTGTTATTTATACATATATACTAAATGTAATGAGAAATTGTTTGTTTCCCAAATAAAATAAAAATAAAATGATGAAATCATTAAATTCTCATTCCGACCCCGCGCCCTCCTGTGTCTTGAGACAATATTTACGGTACACGGGCACAGTTGTGCAAAATGTATTATTCAAGCTCCACGTACGGTACGATTCACATACCATACGAGTATTGGTATCCGTTCCACCCCAGTGTCGGGACACGTGGGAATATGTGCATTTAAGCAACCACCGCGAATTCCAAAGATTCCGATGTTTAAATAAATATTTATGGTGCGACCGCACACAGCCCCGACATTAACACGTATTAAGGCTTTACTGCTGAAAAATAATATGATATTTTTAGTTGATTTTCAAAGGACAATCATGAATTGCTTAAAATAAATATTAATATATTTGTTACTAATCTTACGCTATTTCTGAATCGATTTAAATGATTATTTCTTTAATAGAACGGATTTAATTTTTCTTGAATACGTAATGAAATTTTATTAACACTCAGCAGTGAAATGAACAGTTAAAATCTTTTCTAAATACTCAAATATGGTGTTTGGGGTTCTTCTAAAGGGATGTATTAAGGTTTCTTGTGGGTCGTCAACGCCTAGTGTTGCTGGCGTTCATAGGTTACAGTGACTGTTTACCATAAGGCGGGCTGTATGTTTGTTTGCCACCTTCGTCGTATAAAAAAGGCATTTATTTTAAAAACACAATCATGTATCTCTTTATAATGCAGCTAATATATTTTTTATTAAGCGATATGTATTTAATTTTTTCTGCTTACAAATCAGCTCCTTAACATTATAAATAACTGGATATCAAATATTAAACCAAAAATCTAGTATTCATAATTAATAGTATTAATAATTAGTTTCTCTCCCTGGGGCCCTGAACCCCGGCCAACTGTGCTTCTGCCGGGGGTTAGTCGCCATCTCCTCTCCTTAAGAGGGGAGATGAGAATTTTGTAAAAATAAAAAAAAGTAATAATAAATAAATCTTTATTTTCAGGTATATACCCATAGTTTACAATCATATTATATTATTTATTAAATATATTTATTTTAAATGAATGACAATACAACACATTTAATACAATATACATTAAATTAAATTAATTATCGATCCGTAACAATTTATATACAACTTAAACAAAAAATTTATTAAATTAATAATTAGTCAAAATAATATTTACGATCCATACCCGATTCAAAGGTCCCCATAACACTTGCAACATCTCCACATTGCATTGCCAAAGATATCCCATTTATTTATTTTGAATCGATTGATATCTCCAACTCACGTCTGAATGTCTTCAAAAACATTTTACAATCAGCCATCAAGTCTCTTTGACATGTCCATATTTTTATATATTTTTATTATTTGCATGTACTTCATTGTTATTTACCACATTCATATGCTTTCTTTATATAATTTATAATTTAACATTGTTTGCCTCCTGCTTTAACCATGCTGTGTGTACGCCTGTCTGGGTCTCAATCTAGTTCAAACTATTATCTTCATATAAATGTTTATAATATTATTGATTGTAACCTGTTGTGTATACCTTTTAAATAAAAATAAAAATAAATTTATTTAAAAAGTATTGGAAAAGCAACACTAGTGTTTTCATAAAAAATGCAAACCTTGTTAGGAATATTTTGAATATTATATTGTTTCTCGCTCTAGTAGTAGTATCCTCAAATAACTTTTAAATTATGAATAAGATGTAGGTAACTTCATGTTAGGAAATAAATGTAATGGATATTTTGCTCCTTTAAAGAAGGTAACGTTTCCACTTTTAATAAAAAAAGTTAATCAACTATTAGTAAATCAGACGTCAATGACGTGTGATGGACTACATAAAAAAAAAAACCACAAAACGATTCAAATTCAAAATATCTTTATTCATGTAAGTCTATTACAGACTCTTATGATATGTCAAATCTACCGTCAGTTCGGAATGATATCGAGATGAGAAGAACTGACAAGAAACTCGGCTCGTATTCTTTTCAAATAAATTTTATACATGTTTACATGTAAAAATGTTGGGACACTTGATACGACACGACGAACTTATGAACATTATAATAGAAGGTAAGATAGAAGAAGGGGGAGAGGGAGACCGAGACATAGTTACATCAGGCAGATCAAGGAAGGAGTTGGTGTCGTGTCGTATCAAGAGGTGAAGAGACTCGCTGAAAATCGTAGTGAGTGGCAAGAGATCCACCGACAAGAGCGCAGCTCTTAAATAGGATAGACATGTTTACAATAATACAGATTCATTTTTAAATTCAAATTTGGGATAATAGAGTGACCACCAACATATGCTATTGCAAAAGCAAATAATCTAATCAGTGTTCCTAACCTAAACAGACCAGTCCCCACAAGCAGCCGGATGCTGCTGTCACGAGTATGACGGATGAGCCAGCCATCATTGCACTCAACCATATTTGAGAAAGCACATCGAGCCGCCACTACGCCGCTACAATTAATATATAAAAGGAGGCCGAGGCACAGCTAAAACCGTTAGATCTAAAATTTTGAAATTTTACAAATACATAGGTTCTGTATATAGCGTAAGTGAATAATAAGATTTTTCTTTTAATTCAATCCTTAAAGCGGTAAAACAGAGGTTAAACGTTTGTTTGGTATTTCAGCAGTTTAGAAGCACGTGTAATTTTAGATGTAGACTCTTATTTCAAAACAAACATTAACATGTTTATTGACCTTTGTATAAGTCACCTCTAAAGGGGTGAAATAGGGGATGAATACCCGAAGACCATGCAGATGAAATCGACGAAACCTAGTCATTTCATATATGGAGAATTCCACCTGTATGCCGGGATCATACAACGAGCCTTTTGTATTACTTCGCATTAATCATTAACCGTGCCTATTATTATTACAATTTAGGAAATTATGACAGAGTTAACAATAAAATGGTTTTTTTTATACAACTTAGAATGGCAAACAAGCTGACGGCCCACCTGATGGAAAGTGGTAACCGTCGCCTATAGACATGAGCAGTACCATGAACATAACAGAGTATACTGTTTCGCCCATGATACCCCCCATGCGTTGCCATTCCTGGGGACTCAGGTGTTACTCCTCTGTACCCAGTAAATTCACGCCATATCCCACCCTTCAAACCGAAACATAGCCATGCAAACACAACTGCTTCACGGTTGAAACACGAATGGGACAGAGGTACCGAAGCAATCGACTTTTGTACAAAGTCTCCCTCTGGTAATAAAATTCTAGTCCGTAATTTTATCTGAAAATCGTAGCCTTTAGGTAGCTCTCTTACGATAAATATAAACTGCCTAGTTCTTGAAGCTATCAAGTACTTACCTATCAAGGCCTGCCTACGAAATGGATACACAAATCTAAATCGTCGAGGTATAACTACAGCCAAAGCGCATTTTTGCGAGACCATTCCGCCCAATAACCGATTTCGTAGTGGGTTTTCTGAGAGATATCCGGATTTGAACTAGCTCATACAAAGATGTAAGTGACAGGAGAGTGTCCATAATTTTTTTACCTAATTCCATTTAACATTAATATTATGAACTAGCTGCTACTTAATTCTGTTTCGCATTAATATTATAAACTAACTACTTACCCCGGCTTCGCACGAGTGTATTAATTTTTCACGTTTACATACAATTTTTCTAACATTTTCTTTCATACAAACCTAATCTTGATAATTACAAATACAACAAAAAAGATGCTAAATAAAGAAGTAAAATAAAAAAAGTTGCAGTCGTTCTGAAGTGATGTACTTACATGTATTCGACAAGTGATTTTTATTTCTACAAATGTGAGTTTATAAAAATATTTCAATGTTTAATAATTTGAATGAAATTTGGTACTAAATAGATATTTTCTTCAATTATTTACATTAAATACTATTAAATACTATCTCTCACTGAATAGGTACATCTA